TTTTTCTCAAATCTTAAATGTCGCCAGCACCATGGATTGGGATGTGGAGGATGAGAGCGATGGAACTCGCGCGATAACATATTCACACGGACAAGTGTTTTTTGTAGTTTTATTGAACCTGATAATAGTGGATGCCCTGTATACCCACTTCCTCAGATGTATGCTTCTCTAATCCCGACTGGAACTCAAAACAATTATTTTACAGCCACTCGTGAGTTCACTTTATGGCCTCCCCCATCCTTTGTCAGTTATATTTGACAATACTTGGCGAGTTGGGCACGGTGGCAAGGACTGTCTGGTTCACATATCACTCGTCACTGATGTTGGCCATGGCGAGGAAATCAAACTCAGGGTTGCCGGTTTCTTAGCGAAGTGCGTGACCCACTGTGCCACTCCTGCCACCAATTACATGTCCCATAACTTTATCTTTAACAGCTCTTACTGTCTCTATCTGTCTCTCTAGCAACTCTCATAATCTCTCTCTCTCCTCTAGGAATCGCTAATGAGGTGGCCACGGTGACAGTGTGAAGACGTCTTGAAGAATGGAGGTTGTTTTATGCAGAGGTTCACTTTGCGTATCATGCTGCTATTATTCACACGTTTAACTCGGTTAATTATACAATACACTGTTAATTATAAAGGAGGTGGGTTGCTCAGAGGTCAGAGCGCTAAGCTGTACACTGTTGAGATAATGTGATAAAACTGGGTTCTCGAGTGTAGCAAGTTGATGCCCTCTGCCTAGTTACCAATGAATGTGCAAAAAAACATGAAATATGGTTTTGCCCTCAATTTGGTGAAGAATGAAATATATCGGTTTTACTGTAATGCAACGAACATTACTATGGTGATATCCAATTCTACGGGCTGTTCTGTAATGCAGGGGGTTTCCAATGGATTCTTCGTAAAGTGACGTAACACTGACAGCACAATTGGGATAAAATTGGGAAACAGACTTGTAAACATATCTCGCATTAAATTGAATCGTAACTTTAATAATTTCTAATAAACGAAAGAGAAATGTACAAACAACTTAAAACATTGTCTTCCAAAAACGTATTTAAATGAATGTTATTTTTGAAAGTATAATTGTGCAAATGACAATGTTGATGAAGATAGTTGTGGCGGATGCAATTTTGATGGTAATTGTCATGATGGTGATGAAAATATACAGCACAATACGAACAGTCCTCAAGATTCGAATTTCCGACTTATGTTATTATTTTTAACCATCCGACTTGCGAACATTCGATCGTACTTATAAACCGAACCGCGGAACTATTTTGTTTGGTGGAGCTGTCCTCTGTGAGATGCACACCCCTTCCGACAAACAAGCCAGAATCAGAACTCAAGGTAAGTGAAAATAAAACAGATTTCTTTTCTTTTCGTGTCCCATTATTTTAATGTTTTATTTACTATACAGTATTTATTTCAGTGTTACATGCAAATGTACAATTTCCTATTTATTCGTTTAACGATGTTTTCATTTTTTGTTGAATCAAAACACAATTTATAACACTACTATAAAATACAGTACAGCATTGAGTTCTGAGATACGAACAAATCGACTTACGAACGGGTCTTAGGAACGTAACCCGTTTGTAAGTCGAGAACTGTCCAACAATTTCAATTATATATACATGGATGAGGATCATGACAACTGGAGCAGGAAGGTGACAGATGGAGATGTTGCATAGGTGGAGGTAAGAGGTGCTGCATAGTTGAAGCGGATGAGAGCTCTCGTGAGAGTGGTGGTAATGGTGAGTGGTAAGATTGACGCTAGCTGTGATGACGATAGTGGTGATTGTGGCAGAGGTGATGAAATATGTAATATTTCTGGTAATTTTGATGAAAAGTTTTTGTGGTTATGTCTTGGTTGTGATGATGGTCGTGGTGGAGGTGATAATGATGTTGACGGTGATATGGTGGAGGACGAGTTCGCTGTACACATTATAAACGTGCCAAGACCCAATTATAAGTCTTGCAGTTCTGCTGACTGAACTATTATACCCTTAGCTATTTATGTGTGCGTAAAATCACATTCCTACCTTCAGCATGACTCGCTAGCCCTTTGAAGTGTCTCATTCCCATTTACCACAGTCACGGTTAAATATTGATGCCACGGGGCCTCTAAATGTTCACCTTGTGTCGCACTTGTGAAACCCCCTGTTAGTCCGAGTCTAACCATTGACGGAGCGTAACTTTACTCACAGCAAGGCTCAATAAAGGAAGATGCGACATGAGGCCGCTTCCAGTTTACAAGCGCAGGTCGAGAGGTTTATGTGTTTAAGTGCGGCGACGGAAGCAATGAGTGGCACGCGCTCTCATCTGCTGTTGTATAACCATGTCAGAAGAAGCCTTTTGTGTCGTTTAATCCCTAATCTGGGGAATTTATCGGCGTATCGTTGAAATAGGTGTTGATTCTTTTTTTAGTTGTATCTTTCATTTAGTCATTCCAGTGCAATTAAAATGCCAATATCAATGTATCACCGTTGACATCTCCGCTGTCGTGACTGCTATTATCGTTAGTGTCATCGTCATCATCACTATTACGGTTAGAAAAGTCGCCACCACCTTAATTACTACTAACACCTCCATCGTCATCCTCCGAAACACGGAGACGATGGCATTGATATGGAGGATCTCAAATAGAGAAATTAGAAATGAAATTGACTTCTCACAGACACCAAGAAAATGACGTACAGGAAGTGATCACGAGGGTAATGCAATTCAAGTTACACTTCATCGCCAAAGAGATGACAAAGTTAATTACAGGGCAAAAATAAGTGGTTAAGATGAAAACTCGAGTTTAGGAGGAAGACTGATTACAAGCAGATTCAATTGACAAGAGAAGCTAAATCATGAAATGGATGTCACCACCAAGTAATGAAAAATAACCAAGATTGTAATGGACTGGGCATTCATTGAAAGTAGGGGGGGGGGCAAAGTAAAAAAAAACTAGAAGAGAACAAGCTACGTGGAACCACAAACAGCATGTTGAAGAAAAGAAGCGATATGGAGAGGGATGAAAATACAAAATTTTAGAAAAATGTCCGTGATTCTTAGTCAAGAAAAATAACAAAAACGTAATACTATACATGGAACTGAACAATCGTTAAGATTTGAGAGAGATTTTAAGAAAAAAGCATGTCATCGATGTCATATAACCAATAAAAACAGCAAAAATTAAGTTGATGATTGGTAAAGCTCGACTAGTGGACTGTAGAGAGCAAGATGGAATCCTAATGATGTAAACAGAATGCTCCATAGTAGAAAACTAGATTTTTTTTTAAAGAATAATATAATATACCCCAGAAAACATCAATATTCGAGCGAGGAGGAGAAGATTCCAGGTGTCACATTTGAAAGAGTAACCATTGACCTTCAAAGTACGAAAGGAAGAACTGGACAAGATTGAACAACTGAGCATTATCAAGGAAGCAGGCCTGAATGTTGCATCGAAATTAGCGCCCCTTTTTACGGAACGTTTACATGAAAATGGAACACCCCAGTCCTGGAATAATGCTTCGATTTGTCACGTAATCAAAAGGAAGACAAGGTAGCCTCCTATAAAGTGCATATAAATCGTTAAAAAATAATATAGAGAATTGAATAATGGACAATTTAGAGGCCAGCCAACCACAAAATACATGTCAGTAAGGGGAGTCGGGTAAGGAAATGTACTCTCAGCAGAGCTATTCGCAGTGACATAAAATATTTTATTCCAACTGAATTGGGGAAACAAATGCAGACACATAAATGGGACAAATATTAACCACCTCAGTTATGATTTTTATATCGGCATTATATAAACCAAATGGGAATGAATTACAGGAAACGACTGCAGAACGTAACAGGGAAGGCTGCAAAGAATCCCTGAAGATATTTGTGTTGTGTTACACTTTGTGTTTGTTTTTCTTTATTTTTACTCTTTTTTTTTGGCCTGCACTAGTTTCCTGTTATAGGGATGTAATCGTCACTTACAGCTTTCAAATTGTAAACTGTGGACAACGCAAGTCGTGGGGTCACGGAGATCGTCGGGGGGAGGGGGGGGTGGAGGGGAGGAGGGGGTGGGGCTCAGGGGGCTGCGCGTGTACGAGCCGAACTCACGCGCCTCCAGCCTCGTGCGCGCACGAGATCACGCGGAGCTCAACTCACCCAATTGCAAAGACAAATATCTCGCCTTTATACCCCCTTTTAGCAGACTGTCGGGCTGAGTGCTCTTCGCGGGCACTCACGAAGGCCGGAACTAGACGCGAGGGCCGTGGGGTGGCCAACACCACGCCCCCGGCCGCCTTTGTCTCCCAAAGCGGCGATATTTACTACGCGCCGCAGTAGGAACTCATTTCAGTCTGAGTCCACCTAGGGGAGGCCCATGACCGGTTCAGATAACCGTCGCTGGTGTTGGTGGTCGTGAGCGGGAATCGAACTGGGGCTAACGGGTTCGTGACGCAGCGCGCTAACCGCTGCACCACCACTCCGCGCTTCCACGACCACTACGATCACCACAACCATATTACACCAGTCAAGCAATTTAAGGCCGAATCGATCTAGGGGGAGGCTCAGAACCAGCTCAAATGTTTGTCATTGATGTCGCACATACATCGTGACACATTGTGACGTGCCCAGTCTTTAAATACGAGCAAGACTACCGTGCCTTGTAACGTATGAACCGAAGTGCGCCCCGCGAGCTGTAGGTTCTCCAAACATGTTTTGGGACCCTCAAAATTTGGAAATGTTGCATTCTCATGGTTGGAACAAGTCCATACTATTTAGGAGCAAGCTCTGTTAGCGAGCACCTATTACTCATTAGCATCTATTACATTCGCTATAACCCGCGGAAGCACCTGTACACCCGCGCATGTTTACGCAATGACTCATTAGTGGCGCTTGGCACACGCACACTCAGGCACACGCACGCGTACGGCTACACATTAACGCATGAACAAGTGCACGCATATAAATAGCCCGCCCGGTCGGAGACCCGGACCTCAGAACTCCCAGTTAGATCCCGGATCCTCGTCCCCAGACCTTAGTTCCCCGAGACCGAGGGGAGTACTAAGGACCCTCTCCCCAACTTGGATTTTGGTCCACAAACTCAGGAGTACGGAGTTCAACTCCAAACACTGCATTAAATTCACAGTGGTGCTTTCAGGACTGCGTAGACCTAGGACATCAGAGTTCGATGCCGGACCCAGGTGGCTGGGGATTTTTAATTTAGAACCCATGGGCATCAATTCTCGCGCCGCTAATCAAAGATAACGAGGATCTGCGTTCAATATAAACTTCATCAACGACATCATCATCATCATCACCACCATCGTTGAGGAGCCATGCGTGGTTACCTGCTGGCCGCCCTCGCGGTCATCGCCGTGGGATGGGGTGAGTAAGCGGTGCACTCGTGGAAATTCCACATTCCTGTGTCAGAGGCGTGTTAATACGCTCAACTGCTTTGGTTTCCATCAAAATGGTATCAGATTTATCGACCTCGAGCGGCATTTGAACTGACCAGACATCAATTTAGCATAATTGCGCCACCCGGTCGGATGTGAATTTGGATTAAATTATTTCAGTCCAACTAATTATTTCAGTATTTTGATAGATTAATTATTAGGCTCACACGAATTCAGAAAATTACTGTTCCACGAATTAATTTCTGGGAAACCTTTTTACGTATGAATGTTTTGTTTATTCTTGATTTGAACAGTATTGATTTTGCAAAGTATTGATTTTGTCTATCAATGCTGTACAATATTCTTCTGATGTTGGCTTGTACAGCGCAAGCACGGATCACGTGTTGTTAACCCAGAGGCTGTTTCACCGTGTTTTGCAAAGCGCTCGAAGTCACGAATTTCCATCGTCCATTCCTTAAACGCTAATTATTCTAATACTGTATTGTAAAGAATTATAGCTTGCGGGGTTTGATAAATCACTGGGGATGAATTCCATGTTGTAATCGGCCAGACCATTTGTTAACCAAAGCTGGATTCCATTTACGTGATGCTCATCAGCAAAGCGTGGCCTCTGAGACGAATCCCATTGGGTGATCATAATAAAGCCAGTCATGATGGTAATGAGATGTTACAATCCACTAAGGGCCCAGCAAATGAACTGAATGAATCGCTCCATCTCACTGGTGGATGCCCTCTCCAGCGTGTTTCGTTCTTTGGCTCTCACTTTGTTGTTCATCTCGACATCTTTGCCATCACCCCTTATCGAGGGCATATCTCACCATCGTGATGCCACAGTGGCGAGATGTTAACTACCTCGCCAAGTGTACATGAGGTCATGGGTTCGATCCCGACCTTGACGCCTGCTCTATATTTGGAGTTTGCATGTTCTCTCCGTGGTCGCGTGGATTTTCCTTCGGGTCCTCCGAGTTTCCCCTCCTCATTTAGAAACACGCGTTTAGAATATTTGGCTACTGCTATGAATTTCCACGTGATAAGCCACTTCGTTGAGCTAACCACTTTGTGGCCAGGTCGCTTCTGAAAAAGAGTTGATTAGCTCAGTGGGACTCACCTGGAAAAACAACATATATATAGTTTATCTTCTAAATCGTAAGAGTATATCCTGCAGAAGCGCAGTCACTTTTCTTAACGAAATTAGATTGTTCTCTACTTTGCACGTCTTCTCCGAGTGATGTTTCTATTTCAGCTTCTCGGGGTAGATCCGAGCATGCTCCGATTGCTCAATGCTTCTTTACGCACCGTTCATCTTTCACTCCATCTTTCTTTTGCCAATGTCTATGAACAGAAACATAATCATTAAAAAGCAACGTACCATTCTTGCGCATTAATTACCCCCCCCCCCCCCCCGCAAAGAAAAACCAGTGCATATATGATATGCTATGACATACGGATCGTTCCATTGGGGTACCAAGGTGACGTGGATACAGGTAGGAGTCTAGGTTTATTTGACACTCACGAGGAAGGCCTGGTCGCTAAAAGGGGGTGTCATACGCATTTATGGCCGCCAAGGGCGCCTAAGCCCAGCAAACACGCGCGCATCACGAGCTCCAGATCACGCGCGTTCTCATCCATCGCGTTGATGATGAGCCACCGCTTGTAATGATTAAAACGAGCAAACCGCACGTCCTTTGTACTTCACCGTCCGTCCCTCTCAGCCAGCCAGAAAGACTTTTAATTTTATAGAAGATCCTGTCTCTCTCCACCTCTCTCTAGCCTTATCTGTGATGTATATGGGGCCGTCCATAAATGACGTCACGCGATTTTGGACGATTTATGACCCCCCCCTCGTCACAAAGTCAGACTCTCCCCCTCAAATATGACGTCACAAAGCTCTGCCCCCCCCCCCAAACCATATTTCCATTTTGAAAATAAAACATGCTTCAAATCGCTTTAAACTATTGTCATTGTAGTGCGTATTTAATGTGGCGCTGCACTCTGCTGTTGTAGGAGTGTTGTTAGAACAATTAGTGTTGTTATAACAATTCTATATTTATTTAAAGTTGCGCATTTTTATGTGACGTCACATTTCTCAACCCCCCCTCCCCCGTCACAAATGTCTGACCCCCCTCTAGGTGCGTGACGTCATTTATGGACGGCCCTTATCCCAATTTATGTATGTTTCTATTCCTTCTGTCCCCTCTTCGACCTCTTCCTCCCTCTATATCCATCTCCTCCCTCCATTGTATCTCACCCACTCCCTTCCCCACTCTCTCCCTGTTTGTCTCTCTCAGCTCTCACCCTCGCTCTCCTTATCCCCACCTCTCCCGTTCCCGTCGCACTCTCTCTTGCCTCGTGGGTCGATATCCCGACCCTGACGCCTGCTGCATATTTGAAAATTGCACGTTCTCCCCCCGTGGTCGCGTGGATTTTTTATCCGGGTCCTCCGGTGTTTCCCTCCATATTTAGAATCAACACGCGTTTAGAGTAACCGGTTGCTACAAATGTCCACATGATGATAAGCCACTTCGTTGAGCTATATCACTCGGGATAGCCAGGTCGCTTCGGGAAGAGAAAAAAAACCCACAGCTGTATAGCTCAGTGGGCATTAACCGGTAAAATAAAAATAATTAGTTTCGTTTAACCCCCTTCCTCAATCGCGTTCACGTGGTGGTATCCATGGCCGGGGAGGGTGGGTGGCGTGACGTCGGCACGCACGAAACGGACGTCATGACGCAAATATGCGTGCCCGCACCCACGCCAGCCAGCAAAACTTTACAAAAAAATTATGGTAATAGTAACTCATTTATTCGAGAATTTGTAAACCTGATTTTTTATTATTAATAAACAGAGCTACTGCCGTTGAGTAATGCTGAAGCTTGCAATGCAGAGGTCGCCGGTTCGATTCCCCGGCGCGGCAGTCGCAGTGGTTTAGGAGTGCACTCACCACCAAAAACAAAGACCCCCCCCCCCCCCCAGTATAGCCTGAGTAGACTGTTGTGGCAAGTGCTGTAAGCGAGCACCTCTGAATGCCCGGCACGGCACACGTGGTGGGTGGGGTGGCCAGCAGCACCACGCCGTGAGTCGGGACTCGAACTCGGTTCGGCGGGGTTCGCTCTAACCACATCAACTACCGCCCCCCCATCTCCTCTTCCCTCCCTCCTCCTGTAGCCCCGTGCCACGCGGTGTGCCCCACCTTCTGGCAGGAGTACAACGGCCACTGCTACTACGTGTCCACCGAGAGCTTAGCTTGGGCCGGCGCTCGAGTCTACTGCCTGCGACACGGGGGGGACCTGATGAGCGTCAACTCGGCGGGGGAGCAGGTGGGTGGGGTGCTCGGGAGGGGGGGGGGGCTTCCGCTCTCCCTACTCCTCTGGGATGGGGGGGTGGGGGGCAGTAGAGCTGATGTGTGTTTGTGGGGGTGGGGGCCCACTGGCCCACCCCCAACGGGGCCCACCCTAATAACCGCGATTCACCACGAAGGAGCGTGAACTCGGGTGGACCACAGGGAGCGTTTGGTGGTGCAAGGCCCGGCCCAATACGTACCTAGGGCCGGCCCTCAGGAACTGCTGATGGTTTTTTGCATAAATCACAAAGCCCGATGTACTTTCTGCGTCCGTTTTGTGTGTGTGTGGATTTAAATGTATGGCCATGCTAACACCGAAGCCTACTCACCATGGTCATGCACTCACCTACCCCTATCCACCATGGCCATGCACTCACCTACCCCTATTCACCATGGTCATGCACTCACCTACCCCTACTCACCATGGCCATGCACCTACCTACCCCCACTCACCATGGCCATGCACTCACCTACCCCTACTCACCATGGTCATGCACCCCCCCCTACTCACCATGGTCATGCACCCCCCCCCTACTCACCATGATCATGCATTCAACTAACTATCCCCTATTCACCATGGCCATGCACTCACCTACCCCCACTCACCATGGTCATGCACTCACCTACCCCTACTCACCAAGGCCATGCACTCACCTACCCCTACTCACCATGGTCATGCACTCACCTACCCCTACTCACCATGGCCATGCACTCACCTACCCCTACTCACCATGGTCATGCACTCACCTACCCCTACTCACCAAGGCCATGCACTCACCTACCCCTACTCACCATGGTCATGCACTCACCTACCCCTACTCACCATGGTCATGCACTCACCTACCCCTACTCACCATGGTCATGCACTCACCTACCCCTACTCACCAAGGCCATGCACTCACCTACCCCTACTCACCATGGTCATGCACTCACCTACCCCTACTCACCAAGGCCATGCACTCACCTACCCCTACTCACCATGGTCATGCACTCACCTACCCCTACTCACCATGGTCATGCACTCACCTACCCCTACTCACCATGGTCATGCACTCACCTACCCCTACTCACCAAGGCCATGCACTCACCTACCCCTACTCACCAATGGTCATGCACTCACCTACCCCTACTCACCATGGTCATGCACTCACCTACCCCTACTCACCATGGTCATGCACTCACCTACCCCTACTCACCAAGGCCATGCACTCACCTACCCCTACTCACCATGGTCATGCACTCACCTACCCCTACTCACCATGGTCATGCACTCACCTACCCCTACTCACCATGGTCATGCACTCACCTACCCCTACTCACCAAGGCCATGCACTCACCTACCCCTACTCACCATGGTCATGCACTCACCTACCCCTACTCACCATGGTCATGCACTCACCTACCCCTACTCACCATGGTCATGCACTCACCTACCCCTACTCACCAAGGCCATGCACTCACCTACCCCTACTCACCATGGCCATGCACTCACCTACCCCTACTCACCATGGTCATGCACTCACCTACCCCTACTCACCATGGTCATGCACTCACCTACCCCTACTCACCAAGGCCATGCACTCACCTACCCCTACTCACCATGGTCATGCACTCACCTACCCCTACTCACCATGGTCATGCACTCACCTACCCCTACTCACCATGGTCATGCACTCACCTACCCCTACTCACCAAGGCCATGCACTCACCTACCCCTACTCACCATGGTCATGCACTCACCTACCCCTACTCACCATGGTCATGCACTCACCTACCCCTACTCACCATGGTCATGCACTCACCTACCCCTACTCACCAAGGCCGTGGAGGACGCGTGTGGTATCTGTGGTGGACTGCGTGTGTGAAGATGGAACCCAGAGTTGTCATCGCTCACGAATTGCTGCAGAGAGAAGCACTGAGAGAGATTCATGCTGGGAATTGATTCACCGAGAGACAGAGGAACGCATGGATTGGAGATGTTTTTTTTATTAGAATTTACTTTATTGTCACCATCGCCTTTATAAAAGTAAGTGGGTTAGGGGGCAGGGCACGCCGCTGGACCGGTCGCCTCTGGTCGAGACTAAACGAGGGAGTAGCAGACCAAAGGAGCGAGCGCGCTTTTCATTTGCGTTCACGTACTGTGTATGCGTGTCTCGAGGTGCACCTAGCCTGGCACAAGAGTGCGTTGTGACACCTCACCGTCACTTAGGGGCGATTGGCGGCCGCTACACCTGTGGCTGTCCTTGTTGTTGCACCTGTTCCAGAACTGGATCGCGTCGCACCTTGCGGGATCGAACCTCTACTGGTTTGGTCTGCACGACCAAGTGACCGAGGGGGTCTACGAGTGGAGCGACGGGTCCCCCTACCTGCCGGAGCTCGAGTGAGCGTGCGCACACGTGCACACCTGTGTACACATACCCATACCCGTGCACACCTGTGTACACATTAGGGGCCGTCCATAAATGACGTCACGCGATTTCGGACGATTTTTGACCCCCCCCCCTCGTCACACGGCGTCACAAAAAGTCAGATCCCCCCACCTCAAATATGACGTCACAAAGATCTGCCCCCCCCCCCCCCAAAAGAAAACATGCTTTAAACTATTGTCATTGTAGTGCGTATTTAATGTGGCTCTGCACTCTAATGTTGTAGGAGAAAACATTAATTAAAAAGTCTACTTAATTAAGTAGAACGTGTTGTCTATATTTATTTAAAGTTGCGCATTTTGATGTGACGTCACATTTCTCACCCCCCCCCCCGTCACACATCGTCACAAATGTCTGACCCCCCCCAGGTGCGTGACGTCATTTATGGACGGCCCCTTACCACCCTTGTGTGCACATTGCCACCCCTATGTAAACCTACCCATACCCGTGCACGCCTGTGTACACGTGTGATATAGTAAATGGGGATGATGACGATGATGATGATGATGCGGATGATTCGCGTGCTGCAGGAAATGGAGACCCGGGCAGCCCGATGACTGGCCGGACGCAGAGGGGGGATCTGGGGAGGACTGTGGGGACATTGCAGCTGGGGACGGAGGGTTCTGGAACGACGGCTCGTGCCTCCTGTCCCAGAAGTTCATCTGCGAGAGCGGTGAGAAGGCACGCTTGCTGGGGGGGGGGGGGGGGGGGGTGTTGGGGGTTTGGAGGTAAAGAAATTACAGTGGTGATAGAGGTATGGGGTGGATATGCAGGTTATTGTGTCCTTCGTACAGATATCTGCAATTGTTCAGCACATTTCTTTTCAAGGACCTTTCATATTCATCGTGAAGCCAACTTAAGATATTTTTGTTATAACTGTTTTATTTTGTATACAATAATCAATGATGCAAAAAAATGTTTAACAACCCTAACACCACCGCACACCACCACCATTACACCATCATCAGATTGCCACAACTCTACACACAACACCACTGCACCACCACTGCACCACTTCTCCTATAATTTGTCTTCTTTCTCAACTGTTAGAAAAGTCGTGCAGTCTCCTTCTCGGTGCCCGAAGGAGGAGATTAAAACCCAATGACTATTTAATCACGCGCTGCGTGAGCGGCATACCTCCGCACGCCCGACCCTGCTTCTGAGAGTAACGCTCCCTTTTCCACCTTGTCCCTGCCCCAAGGCCCGGCCATGCCGGGCTGCGACGTGGGCTGGGAGCTGAGGGGCGACTCGTGCTATCTGCTCTCCGTGTCGCCCGAGCGCACCTGGCCGAACGCGCGCACCTACTGCGTGAGCCACGGCGGCGACCTGGTCGCGGTCACCAGTGCCGACGAGCAGGGGCACGTCCTGGCGCTCGCGCAGAGGCTCGACAACGACCCCTGGATCGGCCTCTCCCGCCTGGTAAGGAAAGCCCGACGGTGTGGCAGGTTGTGAGCGGCGGAGGTGCCGAACGCTGGGGCAAATCCCAGTTTTTTAACGAACGCTTTGGGACGGGTGATGCTGCTCGGGCATCACAGGCGCGTGCATGCGTGTGCGTTTGTGTCTTTTTCTTGTCGTTCAATCAGACGTGCACAGCGTTTGGCTGCCACGGGAACAGCAGTGACTTCCACTGGAGCACAGGAGAAGCGTTCTCATACAGCAACTGGGATACTGCGGAACCTGACATAAGGTGACCCTAACCCCTGATCCCTGAATGTCACCCCTAATTCTGGCCAACCAATAATAGCATACAGAAGCCCAAAGCAATGTGACTTTGACCCTGATCGCTCATCAATCAATATTCATTCTTACCGGAAATGTAGGTGTGTGTTTTCTGAAATTTTAATTGGAGAAATGAAGATAAATATAACTGTAAGAAATTGTAAACATCTCAAGATTGGCGTGTTTATGTGTGTGCGCGTAGTCCTGAAGCCCACAAGCTGTGTGTGAAGATCGTACGTATGCCTGGGGAAGACACGGGCGGGTGGATGACCAAACGCTGCGGAGAGGAGCGTCCATTTATCTGCAAGCGCGGCCTCAACAGTGCGTGATGGTGGTTGTTATTGTCGTGGTCGTGGAAGTGGGGAGCAGTAGTGCAGCGGGTAGCACGCTGTGCTACGAACCCGTCGGCCCGAGTTCGATTATCGGTCACGGCCACTAACGCCAGTGCCAATTATCTGAACCGGCCCTGGGCCTCCTCTAGGTCAACTCAGCCTGAAATGAGTATGTGTAGAGAGACAAAGTGCGGCCAGGCGTAGTGGTGGCCACCCACCCCAACATTTGCCATGCCGGCCTTCATAGGTGCTCGATAACTGCACTTGCCCGAAAAGTCTGTTAAGGCTATATGGGGGGGGGGGGGGGGGGGTATTTGTCGTTTGGTCATGGACGTGGCGCTGGTGGCTGTGATGATGGCGGTGGAAGTGGACCTGGTGGCAATAATGATGATGGTGACATTTGATCCTTATGGCGGTACCCCGGGGTACCAAATAAAACAAAATGTCCGAGGCAATTAAATATTTTATTTCTGGGACACTATTTTTTCCAGGGGTTTACTTAACTCCGCGACTGGGGTATCAATCAATCCGCGATGTCGAAACGCCAAACAGCATTAAAAATCCGTTATCGAAAAATTTAACTTTGAATAGTGCATCGTGTACAGCTCGTCGCGATGAGTCGATTGCCGCATCGCCGACCATCAACAGACTAAAAATGACTGTACTATGGTACCTCGGGCTACCTCCATAAAGTTCATTTGTAGTGTTAATGATGATGGCGACAATGGCATTTGGTGTTAGTGACAATGACAACAGTGATGTTTATTGTTGTGTTGATGCTATTAATGTTAACTGTCATGGTGATGTTGTTGATGTTGCTGATGGTCATATTGGAAAATAATTTGAGCATTTTAATCGATGATGCTGAATTTGCTATCTTACTGATGCTGGTTTAATTTCAATGTACTCGTGTTAACAGTAACGATGTCATTGATGGTGAATTGATGATGGTGGTGTCTATTCTAATGACTACAATGACGATGCCGACGGTGATGCTGATGGTGAAGATAGTGTTGACGATGGTGGCCATGGTGATGCTGCTGATGATGGCGATGGTGGTGACGATGATGATGATGATGTTGGTGTCGATGGCGATGATGTGCACAGCCGTGTGCCCCGAGGGCTGGGCCCCGTTTGCGGGCCGCTGCTACTGGGTGGTGACAAGCCTCGTCCGGAGAACAACGTGGAACGAGGCCCTCTTCACCTGCCAGAGGATCGGCGCCCAGCTTCTCTCCATCAACAGGTGACGCCCATCATCAAACCATCTTCACTCTCAAAAAAATCACCATGACGCAGACGGGAACGCCGCCTGGCACAGGATCAGTGCTTGTTCAGCAGAAGATCACAATCGAGATTGAAAACTCGTTTATTTAGAACCACGTTTTGTGTCTAGTTGTCCTTCCCCCGCACCTCCGATTAGCACGGTTGGCTACGTACGGTGCGAAAGAAGTTCAACATACATACATCACCATCACCCATCATCTTCCTTCACCATCACCAGTCACCATCACTGATCACCATCCACAAACACCTTCACCAGATTACATTACCTGTGGCCATAACCAATCGCCGTCAGGAGGTGAGACGCCACCTGTCCGAGGTTCGGAGTTTAAATTGTCTGGGCTTTAGCTGCATCATCCGCTGCCATGTATTCTGATATTAGGGAGCCACCAGAGGCATGCACTTTTAAATATAGATTGAAAACTCATTTCTTTCGAACTGATTTTTGTGTTTAGTTTATTGTCCTTCCTCCCCCGCACCTCCGACGTACGGCGCAAAAAAGATCAACAAACATACATTTTAAACCACGCAAAAGTGTGCCTGCATGTTTGTAGCGCACGTGCTTTCGAGTGGGTGTGTTGCGTCGCCACCGCCGGTCACGGCCAACATCATTGGCGACCGATATCTGAAGTGTCGCCGGGCTTCTTTGTGGTCGACTCGGTCTCTTAAATTAGAATCGGGTGCGGCGTGTGGACATCGGTACCGGGGAGACAAAGACAGCCGGACTTGGTGCTGGCCACGCCACCGCTCCCGTTGTGCGCCGTGCTGGCCACGATGGATGCTCTCTAACAGGACTTGCCCCAACAGTCTGTGTAAGCTACACGGGGGCTCTTTGTCTCTTTTTCTCTGTGCGTGCTCGCAGTGTTGACGAGCAGGACTACATCAACTCTCTGATTCCTGACCTCCAGAACAACCGAGTCGTGGACTTCTGGATCGGAGCGTCCGGTTGGTCCCGCCCCCCCCTATCCCCAGAGACCAGGCGATGATCATGATGATGATGGCCATGCTAGCGATATGCTGTTGATATCAGCAGTAATGGCCGTGATGATGATGGGCACGATGGTTTGTGGCGATACCGATGCTTGTAATGGTAATGATGGTGATGACGGTGATGTAGTTACAGTGATGATGCTAGTGCTGGTGATGTTGGTGATGCTGCTGCTAGTATTGGAGATGATGTTTGTGCTTTTGGTGATGGCGTTGATGGCGAGGCTGATCATGGCTCTAATGCTGCTGCTGCTACTGCTGTTGGTGGTGTTCGTAACATTTACGCTGCTGTGCTGGTCACGGTGGCGACGAGGCCAGCTTCTCCTGGTGACGTTGATAATGTTGACGGCGGTGCTGGGTGACGTGCAGACAAGGAGCGCGATGGCGAGATGAAGTGGTCCGACGGGACGGCCGTGTCTGGGTTCACAAACTGGGCTGCGAATCACCCCCGCAACACGCCGGGGCGATGGGACTGTGGGCAGATTTACACCGGTGGGTACGCACGTGTACACGCATACACGAGCACGCACAGGCACGCATGTGCGTGCATACGCACGTACACAGGCACGTGCGCGCGCGTGATGCCAACGCGTGCGTATGCGCACCAACTCGTGTACACGCACGAACACACGCACATGTTCACACAGTACCGCGCGTACGTATGTAAGTTGGACTTCCTTCGCACCGTACAAAGCCAACCGTGCTAGTCGGAGGTGCGTACGCGAAAACGTGTGTACGCATACAACCATACGCATGTACACGCATAAACACATGTATGCACACACACACACCGACGTGCATACACACAAGCGTGTGTGCATGGATAGTGCTCTGCAGTACTTGCTCTCTTACAACTTCTGTCGCTCCCACCTCACCCCGCCCCCGGAATACCTCGTGACCCCTTTCCCACACCCCCCAACCCCAGGCTCAGAATCGGGCAAGTGGGAGACGACCGACTGCATCAAGGTGCAGAGCTTCGTGTGCGAGGTGCACGGGGGGCAGGTGGTGCTGCCGACGGCCTCGCCAGGTGAGCACGCGCGCGCGCGTGTGCGCGTGCGTGCGGACAATTCTGCATTTCCACTCCGTGATTTCGCCTCCCCCTGTAGGGCTGAACTTCAGCCGGATCTGTGCGGTTTGACGACACGGCACACCACATCTCACCACACCTCTCGCTATGCCTGCGGCTACCAGTCACGCTGCACACTCCGGTCTACGAGTGACCCGGGAAATATTTGTTGAGCGATTGAGCCACGTTCCCCCACTCCCAAAAAAAACTAAGACAAAGATCCCCCGTACAGCCTGAACAGACTGTTGGGGCAAGTGCTGTTAGCGAGCACCTATGAAGGCCTGGACGGCACACGAGGGGGCGGGTGGCCAGCACCACGCCCGACCGCCTGATCGCCTTTGTCTCCCCAGTGGAGATGTTTACACACCCCACCAAGTACACATTTGAGGCTGAGTCGACCTAGGGGAGGCCCAAGATCGGTTAAAATAACCGTCACTGGCGTTGGCCGTGAAAGGACATCGAACCCTGGTCGCCTGGTTCATAGTGCAGTGCGCTAACCGCTGCACTACCGCTTGCCACACACACGCGTGCAGCAACAACGCCACCTCGTTCATCCATCAACAACAGAGCGAGTGACAGTCGTTTAAGCAGACAGCCCCCCCGACAGATTCACTTTTCACACCAACAAGACAAAGATCCCCCGTATAGCCTTAACAGACTGTAGGGGCAAGTGCTGTTACAGCGACCACCACACACAGACACATACACACACATACACACCCGCGCCGTCTCTAACCGCCGATCTCCCCCAATCCCCTGCCCGCACCCGCTGATTGTATTGAACACCCCCACCCCCTGCGCCCTCGTCTCAAGACGGCTGGTGCGAGTCGGGCTGGCTGCTGCACGCGGACTCGTGCTACCTGTTCGAGCACGAGACGCTGCGCACGTTCCAGGCGGCGCGGGACTTCTGCCAGCAGCAGGCGGGGGCCCTGGCGAGCATTCACAATGAGGACGAGATGAGCTTCATCGGGGGTGAGATTGCCTCCCTCCCTCTAGCCAGCCAGCCAGCCAGCAAAACTTTTTTCAAAGATAGTATAGCAAACAATTCCTCCCTTCTACTCACCCCCTCCACCTTTAATTACCTCGCTTGAAAACTAATTTCCTAAGAACTTATTTTTGTGTTTAGTTTGTTGTCCGTCTCCCGCAGCTCCGATTAGCACGGTTGGCTATGTACGGTGCCAAAGAAGTTCAAGATGCATACATGCGTACCTCTCAACTCAATTCATCCTCTGATTGAGGGGAATGAGGTGGCTGTGGTAGTTGACGTTGAGGTAATTGGGGTTGTTGTGGTTGCGGTGGTTATGATGGTTGTGGTGGTGGTAGTGGTGTGGGGAGCGGTGGTGTAGCGATTATTGCGCTGTGAACCTGGCAAGCCGAGTTCAATTTCCTGCTCACGGCCAACACCGGTGACGATTATCTGAACCAGTCAAGCAGCTCCCCTAGGTCGACTCAACCTCAAATGAGTACCTGTTGTGGTGTGTAAACATCGCCACTGGGGAGGCAAAGGTGGCCGGGCGTGGTGTTCTGTGATGGCCTTCATAGGTGTTCGCTAACAGTGCTTGCCCCAACAGTCTGTCGTTGGTGGTGGACGTTGAAGTGGTTGTGGTGGTTGAGGTGGTTGTGGTGGTTGAGGTGGTTGTGGTGGTTGAGGTGTTCACCCCACCTCTGTGTACCGCTTCTGCAGCTCACGTGAGCGACACCGCCTTCATTGGCCTCAATGACATCGTCCACGAGGGCACCTGGGAGTGGGTGGACGGCACTCCTACGGTGAGGACGACTCGCCCACCCGCTCACTTGCCAAAGCACCCACTTGGCAAACTCACCAACTCGCTCAACTACTCACCCACGCGCCAACTGACACATTTACTCAACCGTTAACCCAATTACACATTCACGAACGCATTCACTCGCTCGCACACTCACTAATCCACTCAATCACTCAGTCAGTCACTCACTTTCTCGGTAACCTTCTTACTCATTAATTCAATCTCTTTCACCCTCTTAGCCTCTCATCTAACAACTCACTGGCTCACTGATCACCTCATGTCGCCCCCTGTCTCCTTCTGACCGCTAATGTTTTGTGCGTCCCGTCACCCCGTATCTCCCTCTGTCTGCTCATATTCCGGTCTCCTTGTCACCATTGGCTTCCCCTGTCTTCTCGTGTCTCCATGTTGCCCCGTCCCCACGTGTCTCCCCATCTTCTCATGTCCCCCGTGTCTCCACCGTGTCTCCCCTTGTCTGCTCGTGTCCCCGTGTTTCCCCCTGTATCTAACCCTGTACCCGCTGTGTCCCCGTGTCTCCCCCTGTCCCTCGTTTCCCCGTGTCACCCTATGTGTTCCCCAGGATTACCTGCGCTGGCGCGAGGGCCAGCCAGACAATTGGATGAACTCGGAGCACTGTGTGACAGTGCTGAATCCCGCGGCATACGGACGCGCCGAGTTCAACGACATCAACTGCAACCAGCCCCACGTCTACGTGTGCAAGAAGCCCAAGCGTGCGTGCACACCCCTCGCTCACACTCTGCGTGGTTGAGTGATCTGAGTACTTTAGTGATCTGCGCGGTTGAGTGATCTACGTGGTTGAGTGTTCTGATTGGTTGATTAATCTAATCGGTCAACATGTTATGTTTATTTTACAGATACGGGCACTGGACCAAAACCACCCACACCGACATACCCGGGTACATTATATACACACATACGCCAAATAATATAGACACCCAGCTAAATAATGGTATCCAGTTGAGAGGTCATATGGTATCCAGATGAAATGTCATGTGATATCCAGTTGAGAGGTCACATGATGTCTGGTTGAGAGGTCACATGATATCTGGTTGAGAGGTCACATGATGTCTGGTTGAGATGTCACGTGATATCTCGTTGAGAGGTCACATAATATCTCGTTGAGATATCACATGATGTCTAGTTGTGAAGTCACGTGATATCTGTTTGCTGTGGTTCAGGTTGGAATCAGAAGTGTGGAAGTTGGATCGATGACCCCATTGGACCCTCGTGTTACCTCATCCGCGACACCCACTACAAGGTGGGCTCCTCCCGCACACCTCCTTGTCCCGTCACACCTTCTTCGCTAAACACACCACCTCGTCCTCCAATCGTCCTATCACACACCCCCTCACCCTACCCCTCACGTATGTTAATGTGCGTGTTCTCGTGTGGGGAGCGTTAGTGTAGTGGTTAGCGCACCGCGCTACAAACCTGGTCACCCGCGTTCAATTCCCGCTCACAGCCAACACTAGTGACTGTTGTCTGAGCCGGTCCTGGGCCTCCTCTAGGTCAAGTAAGCCTCAAATGAGTACCTGGTTCGATGTGTAAACATCGGCACTGGGGAGACAAAGGCGATCTGGCATGGTGCTGGCCACCGACCCCCTCATGTGCTCTGCCAGCCTTCATGGGTGCTCGCTAACAGCACTTGTCTCAACAGTCTGTTCAGGCTATATGGAGGATCTTTGTCTTTGTACTCGTGTATGTGCAGACCTGGGAGGACGCGCACACAGACTGCATGGCCTACGAGGGAAACCTCCTGAGCGTCTCCAACCCCTTCGAGCAGCTGGTCATCCAGGGTGAGAGAGCAGCGCGTGGGACGTGTGGGACCCATGGGGAACAGTGGCGCAGAGGAATAGCGCACTGCACGACAAACCCAGCAACCCGAGTTCCACTGTTGCTCACGGCTAACATCGGTGGCGAATATCTTAACCATTCCTGTGCCTCCACTGGGTCGACTCGGCCTTAAATGAGTACCTGGCACGGTGTGTAAATATCAGCACTGGGGAGACAAAGACAGCCTGGCTCGGTGTTCTTGTGGCGGTGCGCGAGGGTGCACGTTGTGTGCAGGGCTCACCGCGAGTTTGGACACGTGTGTCGTTGTGGACGGTGCGTGGTGGCGCATGATGCGTGTAGGCCTCGTCGCGAATGTGGACACGGGCCTTGCGCTCTGGATGGGCGGCCACGACGCCGACTCTGCGGGGGGGTGGGCCTGGAGTGACGGCGCGCCCTTCCAGTACTTCAACTGGGCCCCCGGTACACCACACAGACCTCGCGACTCGCTACTCGAGTACACAGCACGAATACAGGCATGCCCCTTACAGCGCTGCCTCTTATAACGCTGGATCACTATGACGCTCTTTGTCCTGGAAGACAATTCCTGTGCGGATCCGCCCATATATGCAAGTAGCGTGGCATTGCCCGGAGAGCGTGTCTTCGTCCATATATGCAAGTAGCGTGGCATTGTCTTCGCCCATATATGTTCTTGTGGAACCTGCATGGAGGGTGCCTATTGTATCGATTCTGCTCATAGTCTATCCGACTGCTTCGTTAGAGTATCGATTCATTGAGGGTTAATCACCGCATTGATTCATTGGCAAGCGATCCATGGATTGAGCAATCCCATTGGTTAGTATGGCACACGGTGGTCAATCTTACGCAAGCTACGACCAAATGCACTGGCGAGGACATAACTTATTTTATATTTTTTATATCATTATCGTTGAAAGTTATTGTTTTTGATTTATGAAATGCTTTAATACATTTATCATGTCTACAGTATCATTATTAAGGCTATTACCGATACCCCCAATGAAGTCCAAATATATCGCCCATAGGTAAAAAAAAATCTTGACTTAAAGCTTTCGTGATGGCAGGAATTCATATTCTTGGGTCTTTCGGTAAAGTCAAATAGATAGGTTATTTTCTTTCTACGTGACTTTACCGAAAGACCCAAGAATATAAAAAAATTACGCTGTTGGTAACGCATCTCCATTGGGGGCATGTTATAGTGACCTCTTACAGTGCTGTTTCGTATAGTGCTCCGTTTACCAAGAATGCATCCTGCCTGCACACAAGTGCGATACACAACACCCCTGCACACACCGTGCACCACACTACTCACTACGTCTGCACACGACCACTGGGAACGCCGGGACGTTCACCCGGGCCGCAGGCAATCGGCCAGCACCGCTGGGCTGGCTGGAGTTGGCGATGCTTGGGCTACGCTCATCGTGACCCTACCCCCTCGTAGAATAGAATCAGAATCGGAGTCTTTATTTGTCACGGATGAAATCCAATGGGCTATGAAGAATCTTTTTCACAGATGTCCAGTAGGGGATTGTATCAGGAAGTTACAACAACAAACAGTATTAAACAAAAAACGATCGGAGTGCAATGTATAGGGAAGGTAAGAAAATCACTAAAAAGAAGCACGTAAATAGATAAAGTATAAAAGTTCAAATTGGGTAAGGACACTAATTCTCATTCTTGGGAAAGGCAACAAAACAACAACGAAAAATTGGGAATAGGAGCCCATTCTATGGCACGCATCTCCCACGGCAGAAATCTTCGTAGACTCCCAATCAAAAGAATGGGAGATTTCAACACGGGAATCACCCGCAGCAGAATCTCGATTCCTGCATGTTTAACTGAAGGTGGAATTGTAGAAATCGAATCTGAATGCGGCAGCAATCTCCCAGCTCCAATGTACACAACTACACAAAGCGGTATTCGATTGCAGCACAGCGCTTGTACACACCACCACACAATGCTGTACACAAAGCACTATATACATACACACACACACCGATAGACAACACTACTCCTACACAACACCACTCACTACCACACTACCCTACTCACTATTACACAGCGCTACACCCAACCCACACACATTTGTTAGCCCCTCCATCTACACACTCTGAAGCCTAACCCTTGACCCCTGACCCCCAGGGGAGCCCGATGGACGGCTTGGGAGGAACTGCCTGTCCATGCGGCTTGATGACCAGAAGTGGCAGGACGAGGCATGCACGTCCCTGCGGGGCTACATCTGCGAGAGACGAGGTACTGGGACACACGGTGGTGGGGGGGGGGGGGGGACACAGGGGACCCGGGGAATCGGGGATGGGGACACGGGGGAGATACGAAGGGAAAGAGTGTGTCTGAGGGATGAGGTACAGGGAAACGGGGGAACCAGGGAGACGCAGGGGGACACGGAGGGTTGGGGACACGGAGGGTGGGGACACGGGGGAAACACAGAGGGAGAGAGTATGTCTGAAGGATGAGGTACGGGGACACGCTGGGGCCACCGGGGAAACGAGGGAGACACGATGGACACTGGGAGACATGCTGGAGACGGAGACAAGAGGGACATAGGGGGATGCATGGGAGACACGGAGGGAGAGAGAGTACATCTGCAGGGACACCGGGAGACACGCTGAAGATGGCGGGAGGGGGGTATAAGAGACAGAGGGATTCACAAGGGAGATGAATACACGAGGGATACAAGGACCCAGGGAGACACGAGGCATGAAGTTGTCAATGCGTGTTTGTCGTCTCTTCCAGGCAACGTACCAGACCCAGAGCCAGACGAGCACGAGGGTACGTGAGTGAGTGCGTGTGCACGTAGCTGCGACGACGCACGTGTTTGCACGTCCGTATGCCCAAATACACGTGTTCCTCTATTCGCGTGTATAAAGAGGAACACGTGCACGCACGTGTGGGTGTGAGCTGGTGTGTGTCTGTGTGTGTGCGTGCGTGCAGGCTTCCTGCGTGTGTACGCGTGTCGCGGGGATGCGTTGACCATCGACTGCCACGGGGACCGCGTGATACAGATCCGCTCGGCCACCTGGGGACGTTCGAGCAATGACAAGTGTGCCGTGGGGGCCCAGACCGGTGCGCGTGTGCACACTCGCGTACACGCGTGGGCGCACATACGTAACGCACGCACGTATATACGCGTATAAAATAGATAAATCCGAAAAAAAAAATCGGAAATAGCACCTGGATATGGAATTTAAAAAGATAAAAAACAAAGTCTCCTCATGTCCCCAAGTAACTCCACCCTACCCATTCATGTCTCTCCATGTCCCCTCGCATGTCTCTCCGTATTGCCACGTTTCCCTCCCCCCTCCCGTTGTCCCCGTGTTCCGCCATGTTATCCTTGTGTCGTCACGTGTCTCCGCTGTGTCCCCGCGTGTCCCCTCGTGTTGCCCCCTCCATGTCTCGCCGTGTGTCCCTGTGCAGGCTCGTGCGTGGTTCCGGGGGCGGTGCAGCGCGTGCGCACTCACTGTGAGAACCGGCCCTGGTGTCTGGTCCGAGCCACAGAAGACGAGTTCGGGGACAGCTGCCCCACCATCACCAAGTACCTCGAGGTCACCTACAGCTGCGAGCAAAACGGTGCGTGCACAGGGAGGCACGGGGACCCACGGTGTCACACACAGGGAGGCACGGGGAGGCACGGGGACCCACGGGTGTCACACAGGGAGGCACGGGGAGACACAGGGACACACAGGGACAACACGGGGAGATACGGGGCCGCACAGGGACACAAGGGAGCATGGGAATATCGGAACATGGTGCGCGGGGGACACGTGACACTGGAACAGACATGAACATGGGACAAGGGGTTGAGGGGGGAGTGGAGGTGGGGGTGCACGTAACCGACGGCACACGCGCAACAGGGCCCAGCGTCGTGCAGACCCCATGAGGTTCACGTGCTTGTGCCCCCTTCTGGCCCTGCACGGCAGGTGGTGTTCATGGTTGTGATGGTGTTGATGGTCGTAAAACATGTTGGTGATGATGTTGATGGTGGTGATCGTGTCGATGGTGCTGATGTTGATGGGCGTGATGGTGTTGATGTTGATGGGCGTTATGGTGTTGTTGATGCAGTGTGCGTGCAGGGCCTGGGAATGGAGTCGGGAGCCATACCAGACTCCCACATCACCGCCTCCTCCTCGGCGTCAGGGTGTCCAGCCAACGAGGCCCGTCTCCACGGCAATAGCTGGTGGTCACCTAACAACAACGGTAACATCTCCACCATTACTATCATCATCGCCACCCAAATTACTGTCTCCGCTATCGCCTCCATCCACATGACTGTTGCCGCCATCACCGCCATCTACACCACCATCCCCTCCACCTATGGCACTGCTGCTACCAATTGAACAATCTTACTTTAAATAAAATAATGATCAAATATAATGCCATTCCACTGCTAGATGAGGGTCTCTCCCATGCCATATGCGTCATCATACTTCACCACACTGGTCGGTGTAGGTTGGTAAAGCGAACCCAGGACTAGTTCAGATTGAAATGTATTATCATTCTCACGATGCTGGCATCAATCCTGTTGGTTTGAGAAATGTTTTTTTCTTCTAAATTTATGTATTTGTCATATTTTTTGTTTGTGCTCCTGGACTGGATAGAATAGTTTGTGGACATCTTCCAAACATGCATAACCGAGCCGTTGGATCAATATTTTCTGACCTGTTTAAGAAATGCTTATGCCAAATTGAATTTGCCCAATCTTGACATTATGCCTCCATTCACTATTCCTTTTTAAAGAAGGGAGACAAAAACTGATTCGAAGCATTAGCCTCCTGTCACAGGTATATAAACTGTGAGTGAACATCATGAATATCACTGAATAATGGACAATGTAGAGACCAACCTACCACTTGAGCTGGATTGAGGAAAGGTTTCTCAACAATTGACCACGTAGATAATCTCTCCTCATATTCCAGATTTTACATGCCTTTTTTTGACAACTACGAAAAGGAAATTTGCACGGCTCTCCCCAAAACCAATCATGACACGAGCCCTGACCGCGCAATATCATAACCTCATGACCTTGTGACCCCGTGACCCCCAGCGGGCTCGTGGCTGCAAGTGGACCTGGGCTCGGTGTTCCAGGTGACCGGCATCTCAACGCAGGGCAGCGCCCGCACGAACCACTGGGTCACGACGTACCACGTGCACACGAGCTCCAACGGCGCCACATGGGCCCCGTACCAGGAGAACGGCGCCACATACGTACGTACGCGCGCTCGCACGTCGTCGCGCACAAAAGACCTACTGCCGTTCCTCCCTTAAAACAACCCCCATCATTTCTCCCTATCCCATCCTCGCTCTGACACTGCCTGCCCCCCTACTACGACGAGGCAGCGTTCCCCCAGCCGCTCCTTAACCACTCCTAACCACCACTTTAATAACCCCACTCTTGATCTCAACCACTTTCGTCTCATGTACAATTTCATAATTGCTGTTAAGCGCCTTGCAATAAGGCGCTATATGAATCTGTATAATATAAAAATGTACATTTACGTCACGTCGAAATGCGACCGCGTCTCTATGTGAAAACGTGTACGTGAGGACTCGAACATCTCATCCTCTCGCAGTGCCAAAGTGGCTCAGGGGTTGGTGGGTAATGTGGACTAGACTTGGATCGTCGCCCCTTCCCCATTTTTCAATCTCACTGTGCGTCCCCCGTGTGTCTGTTTGTCCCCGTGTGTCTGTTTGTCCCCGTGTGTCCACGTGTCTCAGGTGTTTGCGGGTAACGACGACCGGACGACAGTGGTCACCCACCTGCTTGGCATTACCCCAATCGTGCGCTACGTGCGCATCGTGCCCCAGAGCTACGCGACCACGCCCGCCCTGCGCATAGAGATCCACGGCTGCGCACCCAGCTGTACGCATACACACACACACACGTGACACACGTACAAAGGCAAAGATCCCCCGTATAGCCTGAACATACTGTTGGGGAAAGTGCTGTTAGCGAGCTCCTATGAAGGCAGGCACAGCACACGAGGGGTGGGTGGTCGGTTGCCTTTGTCTCCCCAGTGGCAATGTTTACACATCGCGCGAGGTACTCATTTGAGGAGACTGAGTCTAGCTAGGGGATCGATTCAGATAATCGTCACCAGTGTTGGCCGTGAGCGGGAATTTAACTCGGGTCATCGGGCTTGTAGCGCAGCGTGCTAATCATTGCGCTACCGCGCCCCACACACGTACAAAAAACAAAGATAAAGATCCCCTGTAGCCTTAATATACTTTTGGGGAAAGTGCTGTTAGTGAGCACCTATCAAGGCCGGTATGGCACGCGAGTGGGTGGGTGGCCAGCACCACGCCAGCCACTTTTGTCTACTCGGTGGTGATGTTTGCACACACCGTACCACGTGCTCATGCTAGGCTGAGTCGACATGGGGGAGTCCCAGGACCGTTTCAGTAATTCGCCACCAATATTGGTCGTGAGTGGGAATCGAACTCGGGTCCGCCGGGTTAGTCGCACAGCGCGCTAACCACCACATTACACTAGGGCCGCACAAGCAGACGTGTCTGTTTGTGCACGCTAGTGTTCGCGAGTGATTACACACGAGCATTTGCATAGACACGTACGTGTGCTCTGGCGCATAAAGGTGTCTGTTCCTGCACAAGGCACGCATGCACCCACGGACGTGCACGAGATTGCTTGTGACAATTACTGGTGGTTATAGTGGTGATAATTGTCGTTGTGGTTGGAGGTGAGGTTACTTAGAATTTAATATGGTGGTGGTTTTGATGATGGTGCTAATGATGATTGTGTTAGTGATGATGATGGTGGTGATGGTGGTAGTGATGATGGTGGTGGTAATGATGATGGTGATGGTGGTAGTGATGATGGTGGTGGTAATGGGTCATAATGGGTGATGATGGTGATGTGTTGTAGATGCTGCTCAGTGCGGCAGTCAAAATCTACTCGGCGATCACGAGCAAAAGATAACGTAAGGATGATTACTCTCACATACGCACGCACGTACAAAGAAAACCAATGACAAAGATCCCCATATAGCCTTTAATAGACTATTGGGGCACGGCACACGAGGGGGTGGGTTGCCAGCGCCACGCATAGCCACCTTTGTCTCGGCACCAGCTCCTCATTTAAGGTTAAGTCGACCCTTGGCAGGCCCTGGACTGGTTCATATACTCGCCACTGTCATTCATAGCGCAGTGCACAAACCACTACACGACTGCTCCCCACTGCACACTCACTCGAGCATACACACACACATGCAGATTCACACCTATTTCCACTCAGAATGTAACAGCCGCCTGGCTGCTGCTGCCTTCCAGCTCATCTCTGGTTCCTTAGTGACTGTGAGATGCAATTTACATGAACGATGATGCTATATAAAACGAAATATTGATTTTTGTTTTTCACGATCGAACTTGTATTTTGGTCGAGAAAGGCGTAGGGCTCGTGCTGGTAGGGGTTTGAGGATTGTGCCAGTGTGTGAGTGTTTACGCGCCTGTACCTGTGTGTGGCCGTGCAGTGTGCACTGCCCGCCTGGATGTACCCTGGCTCGGAACATCGTGTACGGAACGTCCGTCTACCGCGGGGTGAGACAACGCACGCAAACACTGCTGTCCCCTTGCCACCACACGAAGCAAGACATACGCAGACACACGCGCGTTGTGGCTCGCGCGTGCTCAGTCGGGGCCATGATTACTCCGTGTGTGCGACTCCGTGGACCAGGACTCGCCCGTGTGTGTGGCGGGCGTGCACGCCGGCGTGGTGTCAAGTGACCACGGTGGGGAGGTCACGGTGCTGAGGCGGCCAGGCCAGAGCCTCTACCCGGGCTCCACGCGCAACGGCGTCACCTCCCAAACGTGACGCGCGCATCCAGCACACACGCGCTCGTCAAAGACAAACATCTTTAGAACTGAATGTTGGGGCAAGTGCTGTTCGCAAGCACCTGGAGCGGTGGGGCCGCTGCAACCATGCCCAGCCGCCTTTGTCGCCCGAGTGTTGATATTTACACACTGCAGTCAGTGTCCATTTAAGGCTGAGTCGACCTCAGGGAGGCCCAGGACCAGTTCAGATATTCATCACAAATGTTGGCTGCGAGTGGGAATCAAACTCGGGGTTGTTGGGTTATACGTACGTACGTGGAACTTCTTTTGCATCGTACATAGCCAACCGTGCTAATCAGAGGTGCAGGTTAATAGTGCAGTATGCTAACCGCTACATACACACAAAGGCGAAGATCCCCCGTGTAGCATTAACAGACTGTTGGGGCAAGTGCTGTTAGCGAGCATCAATGAAGGCCAGCAAGGCACACAATGGGGTGGACCAGATGACGGTGGTCACCCCATCGTGTGCTACGTGCGCATCGTATGCCAGAGCTACACGAGCATGCCCTGCGTGCTCATAGAGATCCATGGCTGCACGCCCAGCTGTACAAATATCCTCCGTATAGCCTAAACAGACTGTTCGGGCGAGTGCTGTTAGTGAACACCTATGAAGGCCGATACGGCACATGAAGGGATGGGTGGCCAGCATCACGCCTGGCCGCTTTTGTCTCCCAAGTGGCGATTTTTACGCACTGCACCAGGTACTTATTTGAGGCTGAGTCGACCTAGGGGATGCCCAGAACCCTGAGTGGGAATCGAACCCGGGTCGCCAGGTTTGTAGCGCAATGCGCTAGCCGTGACACTCCCACTCCCCACACACACACACACCTGCACAGCCACACATTCCAGCTGCCATGTGGCCCTGACTGTTGGTGTTGGCGCCGCAGGTACGAAGGCACTTGGACAGATTCCTTCGCCTTTGCTGATGGAGGTGATGTAATGATGATGATGAGGATCTATCTCTTGAGTTTTATTATGATCATAATTCCAGATTCACCATGAGTGGGACAGGGGAGAGTAAATGATCTGCCAATCCTCAACGGTGTCAACAGTGACGATGCTACAGATCACCAAAATCTCCCCGATGACCTTGATTGTGATCATGATCTTGACAATGGTGTCATCAATGATTAAGGTGATGATGATTCCATGGGTCATAATTGAGTCCACGTTGTTGGTGATTACGGCTGTGATCGCCGAGTTGATAAAAGTATGATGTTGATACCACCGTGAATAATTCGGTGACGATGATGACGTCTGTGCGGTTGATGTCGACATTGGTAGTAACGATTACTGTGAAGTCAACGATCATCTTGAGGAAGACGGCGATGTTAACGATGTCCGGAATGATATCAATGACTGTAAAACAAAAATCGCAGCAAACCCGAGATTGTCAGAATTTATCGAATAGCATTTTGGATGAAAAATGACTTTCCTGATGATGATGATGACAAAGGAGATAATGATGAAGGTTATGATGATAATGAGGATGACAACATTGATATTGATAATGATGACATTGATGACATTGATTTTGACATTGATGATATTGATAATGTTGATAATGACGGTGATGGTGTGTGCCAACAGAGCTACGGTGCGAGAGTGCCCAATGGCACGAGTTTGGAAACTCGTGCTACCACGCTGTAACCGAGGCCCTGTCCTGGGCGTCCGCTCGCCGCTCCTGCTTGACCATGGGCGCTGAACTCATCTCCCTGGGTTCCCTCACCGAACAAGCCTGGCTTGAGTCCTTCCTCTACATGGGTGAGACTCTCTCTCTCTCTATCTGTGAGCCCATCTCTGTGTGTGATCGACCTCTTCCCTGTCTTCTCATGTCTCTCTGTGTCATCGCGTCTCCCCATGTCTCCATGATGCTGTAGTGTTGGGCTCACTGTGGGATTGGAATGAGCTCGTTGCTGTCTTCCTGCCTCTCCTTGTCTCCCCGTGTCCCCGTAGCATCGGGCCCGCTGTGGATTGGAATGAGCTCGTTGCTGTCTTCCTGCCTCTCCTTGTCTCCCCGTGTCCCCGTAGCATCGGGCCCGCTGTGGATTGGAATGAGCTCGTTGCTGTCTTCCTGCCTCTCCTTGTCTCCCCGTGTCCCCGTAGCATCGGGTCCGCTGTGGATTGGAATGAGCTCGTTGCTGTCTTCCTGCCTCTCCTTGTCTCCCCGTGTCCCCGTAGCATCGGGCCCGCTGTGGATTGGAATGAGCTCGTTGCTGTCTTCCTGCCTCTCCTTGTCTCCCCGTGTCCCCGTAGCATCGGGCCCGCTGTGGATTGGGCTCAACGATCTAGCTGTCGACCGCTACTTCCTGTGGTCGGACGGGAGCGACGTGCGCTACACGAACTGGGCCCGGGGCCAGCCAGACGGAGGCGCCGTCCTGAGGCAGCAGTGTGTGGAGATGAGAGCCTCGGTACGCGTGAACACACACACGCGCGTGTATGTGCACGCATGTGCACCTGTGTGTGTCGTCTTGTGTGTGAGTGTGTGTGTATAGCACTAGTATAGTGGGCAGCCTCAAATGATTACCTGGTGAGGTGTATGTGAATACGTGTGTGTACACACATATTCACATACACCTTCATAGGTGCTCGCTAACGGCACTTCCCCCTACAGTCTGTTAAGGCTATACGGGGGATCTTTGTCTTTTGTCTTTGTGTGTACACGTGTGTGTGTGTACATCTGTGTGTGCGTGCAGGATGGGCGCTGGAATGACCAGATGTGCTCGGTGCCGAACTTTGCTGTGTGCGAGAAACCCAAGAATCATTACCCAGCCCCCTCCGTGCCCCCCATCGTGGACGGCTGTCCACAGGTACACAGGCACCATCAGCACTATCATCACCAGCACCATCAACACCAGCACCATCAGCACCATCATCACCAGCACCATCAGCGCCATCATCACCAGCACCATCATCACCAGCGCCATCATCACCAGCACCATCATCACCAGGACCATCATCACCAGCACCATCATCACCAGCACCATCAGCACCATCATCATCAGCAACATCATCACCAGCACCATCATCACCAGCACCATCAGCACCATCGGCACCATCATCACCAGCGCCACTAGCACCACTGGCACCAGCACCATGAGCACCACCAGCACCATCACCAGCCACACCATCAACACCATCGCCATGTGACCTCGTGTGTGCCCGTGTCTCAAGCAGAGGCTTGGCTAAGGAAATTCATGTTGTCTGCTGTGTACCCGCGTGTGTCTCCAGGGCTGGCTGGGCTACGCGGACTCGTGCTATCTGCTCGACGAGGTTGAGTACGCGCGTGGGTTCGCGAAACTCTTCTGCCACGACCACGGCGCCACCATCGTGCACGTACACGACATGTACGCACGCGAGCGCGTACACGCACGCGCAGATAAACACGTGCGCGCGCACGGGCACATGTGTATTCACCATCGTAGGCGATTGCGTGCTAATGCATGTGTGGTGGTCAAGGTTGACACCAAGGTTGACACAGGTCACACAGGTCACACAAGCTAGGGGAGAGGTACGTACCGGTCTGGATCGGCCCGGATTGACAGGGACGAGAGGTGGTTGGAACGGCTCTGAGGGGAGGGGGCTGGCGAGAGCCAGGGCCCGAGACACCCCCGCCCCTCAGAGAGAGGGGATATATAAGACGGCTCCCGGAGAGCGGAGGGGTCGATCGGAGGAGAAGCTGAAGGAGGAGAGCCGGAGATCCTGGACCCCCAAGCCTCAAGGATGCCGCCCCGCTGGAACTGAGTGGGCTGAGTAGCTGTAGGCTAGGGAAGAGAGTAGCTGAGTAGCTGTAGGCTAGGGAAGAGAGTAACAGAGTAGCTGGAGGCTAGGGAAGGAGAGAAATGAGAATAGAGCCGGAGGCTGTACCTCCCTAGGTTGTGTGTGTGGGACTGTTTCCCCAGTGAGTCCTGAGGACTAGTGTTATCGGAATAAAAGCGTGTGGCCTCTACGAAGTGTCGGTCTCATTCAAGAATACTACAATTGGTGTTAGAAGCGGCCAAAGAACCTCGCCGACATGGAGACAAGACAGAAAACGCTCACCAGGGGCCAGGAGAAGGATGTCGAGGGAGACGCTGAGCCGGAGGCGGGAGCGCCATTTCCGGGGGACGGGTCTGCGGGGGCGGGCTCGGGTTCTCCGGGGCCCTCCAGGAGTCCGCCGACGTCGGGATGGGCGATCTAGTCAGCCCATGCCCGGCTGGCCGATCTCCTCCATGCCGCTGCCTCCATCCTCGACGAGCTCACGCTGGGGGGAGCGGGAGCGCCGGGTGGAGTACCAGGCCGGAGGATGGGACGGGTTCCCGCCGAGAAACGCGCCATTCCCGCGCAAAACTTTGACGTCACCTCCGGAGGGGGAGACGTCACTTCCGCCGGGGATGCGGCCGCCGGGGATGACGTCACTTCCGCCGGGGGGGTCACCGCTTCCGGGGGACATGACGTCAACCGCCCAGGAGGTCAGGGGGCAGAGGTGGCCCGCGTCACATCCGCCATCTGCGGCCTTACATCGGGAGAAGCAGAGTTTTCGGGTAGGTGCCCGCCGATTCCGTCTGATATTCTGCCGCCGGAAAATGCTTCATATACTGCACTTGGGACGCTGCTGTCTTCGAGGGGGGACTACATCCCGGCGCTACAACAGCGCTTGCCTTCGCTTCAGGTTTTCACGGCAAAGGGGGGGGACTGGGCTGCTTTTTCACGCCGTTTCGTGGCAAATGCCGAGACGGCTGGGTGGTCTGCTGACATCGCTCTCCGAGCCCTGCCTTCCGCCTTGGACGACGTGGCCTTGGCCACGTTCCTCCTTATTCCACGGAGGCAACGCTCCACTTTGCAGGAGGCCCTCGATCGGATGGCCTTAGTGTATGGACCTCCATCCGAAACTAGACATCGTTTCGCCAGTCGGAGGAGGGAGGCGGACGAGACACCTCTTGCCTATCAGAGTGCACTGATGGCGTTGGCTCAAGCAGCCTACCCTCGAATGGACGATGTGGGCCTGGACTCCATCGTGCTGGAGAAGTTGCTGCTGCTGGCTCGGGAACTGAGGATTGCCATCCACGTCAAAGATGAAGCTAACCTTTCCTCGTTGGGGGCGGCACATTACCTGCACACAGAGTTGCTCCTCCAGCGGGATGGGCAGGTGGCTGCGTGCGCCGCTGCAAGAGTGGACGAGGTCCGGGATGCCCAGGCCTTCGCGTCACAGCGGGCCGCCAGTTGGAAGGGGGCCGACCGGCCTCGCCAAGGGGAAAACCGGGGGAGACACGGATCCCCGCGGGCGTGGGCTGGCGTCACGTGCTATAACTGTGGCCAGCTGGGTCACCTGGCATCGGGTTGCCCAGCACCCCGGCGCCGGGCTTCGGGTCATCCACCATCGTCCGCCCGTCCGCCGGCCGCTCCACAAGACCCCCAGGCATGTCGCGACACCTCACGCACACGGTCCCTGCCCGCATCTCATACACCGCGAATCGGCGCGCCAGTAAATCGCGTTGCGTTGAGGGGTAGGGAGCGGAATGGGGCTGATGTTCGGGGGCCACTTCGCGCGGTTCAGTGGTCCGAGTTGGCCCACAGGGTCGTGGCCGCGGCGACGGGCTCGTCGGCTATTCTCGGGGATATTGAGGGAATTCAATTTCGATTGTTGGTCGATACGGGGGCTTCGGCTACTATAATCTCCGACCTCATATACAACGTGTTACCAAAGAGATGTCAGGCACTCACCCCGTTCTCCGTCCCTTGCTTTGCGGCAAATGGGGGTTCCCTGGGGATCATTGGCCAAATAACTGCACAAATTTGTATTGGCGACATTAAATTATCTGGTCCCATTTTGGTTTCCGATGCCTTGGCCGTTCCCTGTCTGTTGGGTACGGATTTCTTGGGGAGGATGCCCATCAAAATTTTTATTGAAAAAGGCTGCATCGAGCTTCCTTCGGGCCGCCGGATGGCGTTTCTGCCCTCACCAAACCGGCTGCGCACAGCTTGCACGACTGTTCCGGCTATGGCGTCTGAAACCGTGCGGATTCCGCCGGGTGCGCAGATGCTGATACCGCTTCAGTTACGCAAACCACTGGAGGCAGACGCTACGTCGGGGGTTTTGTTGTCTCCTTCAAATACGACCGAGCGAGGGTTGGACCTGGTGGGTGCACAAACGCTTGTGCCTAGAGATGGACAGCCCTTCATTCAGGTGCTGAATGCGGGGTTGCGGACGAAGGTCGTGCACCGAGGGGCTGTCATTGCACATGCGTCGCTGCCGCTGCACACTGACTCTGTTGCAGCTCATGTCGGTGAGGCGCCGGCGTCCGGGACGCAGGTGGGTGTCGATGAGGCATGGATGGATTCTCTCTGTTCAGGGGCTGAAAATCTTTCTGAGTCACAAAGATTCAAGCTGCGCATGTTGCTTCGTGATTTTCCCGATGTTTTTAGCAAACACAAATTCGATGTTGGGTGCACTAATCTATTGAAACACCACATTGATACGGGGGATTCCGCTCCCATTCGCCAAAATCCGTTCCGATTAAGTCCGGCAGAGAAGGAACATGTCCGGTTGGCAGTGAATGACATGCTTGCCGCAGACATTGTGGCTCCCTCCAACAGCCCATGGGGTGCGCCCATTGTGCTTGTAAAAAAACATGATGGCAGTTTGAGGTTTTGTGTGGATTTTCGGAAGCTTAACAAGGTTTCGCTGGCGGACGCGTATCCACTCCCTCGCATGGACGAGTCGCTCGATGCCTTGGCGGGGGCACGGTATTTTTCAACCTTGGACCTTTTGTCGGGGTTTTGGCAACTGCCCTTGGATGACGCTTCCAAACCTAAGACCGCGTTCCGTACGCCACAGGGCCTTTATCAGTTCAACCGGTTGCCCATGGGATTGCACTCAGCTCCAGCGACGTTCCAGAGATTGATGGAACTGGTCCTCGCTGGCCTGCAGTGGGACTCTTGTCTTATATATCTGGACGACGTGATTATTTTCAGCCGTACGTTTGAGGAACATCTGGACAGACTGCGGGCTGTATTTCTCAGAGTGCGATCGGCTAACCTTAAATTTAAGCCTCAGAAATGTTTCCTGTTGCGTGAATCGGTGCGGTACCTCGGCCACGTTGTCAGTTCTACGGGTATAGCCACCGATCCTGCTAAAACTGACTGTGTAAGGTCGTGGCCCACGTCCACGTCTGTGGGGGAAGTCCGCAGCTTTATAGGCTTTGCGTCCTATTACCGCCGGTTTGTTGAGGGGTTTGCGACGATCGCCAAACCCCTTCATGCTCTGACGGCTAAGGGGGCTAAATTCCATTGGGGGGAAGAGGAAGACAGGGCGTTCAGGACGCTTCGCGATGCCCTTGTCCGAGCTCCTCCCTTGTGCTATCCCGATTTCACGTTGCCCTTCATCCTGGAAACCGATGCCAGCAATACCGGCATCGGCGCGGTGCTTTCGCAGGTTGTCAACGGGGTCGAACGGGTCGTTGCCTACGGCAGTAGAGTCCTGTCTCCGGCAGAGCAACGTTATTGCGTCACCCGCCGTGAACTGCTCGCTATTGTCGTGTTTGTTCAACAATATCGACCGTACCTGTACGGTAGGCATTTTACGGTTCGTTCCGATCACGCCGCGCTACAGTATGCGTTGAAAATAGACCAGCCGTCCGGCCAGCTGTCACGTTGGCTTGAGGTCCTACAGGACTACACGTTCACGGTGGTGTACCGGAAGGGGACACAACATTTGAACGCAGATGGCTTGTCACGCCTTCCTCCGGGTGATGGGTGCGCGTGTTTTATGGGCTCGGGGAGATGCAAATCGGCCACGAGTACCGCTCCGGCTTCTCCCTTGGCAGCGGCAGCAGGGGTGGTCGATAGGGAACCTGTCGCCGAGGGGGACTCGCAGGTGTTGGTCGCTCGCGACTCACTCCTCGATCTGCCTCTGGACGAATGGGGACGGTTCCAGATGGAAGACAATTCCCTCCTCAGGTTACGCCGTCGTGCGGAGAGAGGGGGAGATTGTCAGGAAAGGGTAGGTACTGTCAGGTTGCGGGAGGGTCTCCTCATGTCATGGGACACCAGCTCGGGGCGTTACAGAATCGTCGTCCCCACCGCTCTGCGGGGCAGGGCCGTGTGGGCGGCGCACGAACGCGTCCTGCATTTAGGTATTCACAAAACGCTCGCTACACTGCAATTGGATTTTTTTTGGCCGGGAATGGCGCGCGATGTCGCCGACCTTTTGAATAGTTGCACACAGTGTGCGCGGCGGAAACACCCGGCTAGGGCGGCTTGCCCACCCCTTCAGTCCATTCAGGTGTCCCGGGTTAATGAGTTGGTGGCTCTTGACATTCTGGGTCCCTTCCCTGTCACCGCTCGGGGAAATAAGTACCTGCTGGTTGGGGTTGAATATTTCACCCGTTGGCCTATGGCCTGGCCCCTCCCCAACCAGTCGGCAGCAGCCATTGCGGAGGCGTTTCTCCAGGGCTACGTCCTGGATAAGGGTGCCCCGGAACGGCTGCTAACCGACCAGGGAAAGAACTTTTCGTCCAATCTTCTGCGGGAGGTTTGTGACCTTTTGTGCACACAGAAGGTCCGGACTTCCCCCTACCACCCGCAGACCGATGGTATGGTCGAACGTCTACACCAGACCATTACCTCTATGTTGTGTCATCAGGTAGACGACACACAGTTGGATTGGGACCTGAAGATTCCCGGAGTTCTGGCCGCATATAGGTTAGCGCCTCACGCGGCCACGGGCTATTCGCCCTTCTACTTAATGTACGGCAGGGAAGTCGACCCCCCCGTGGAGGTGCAATTGCGGGTCCAGTCTGCGGCTTCTCGCTCGAAACTGTCCGAACACGCTCAGTTCAATATTCGGAAGTTGGTCGAGGCGAGGGTGGCCGCGCAGGAAAATTCCAGGGCAAGGCAACGGGCCAATGAGCGTCTGTATGATCGCCGGGTTACGGTGTATAAATGGGCGGTAGGGGATAAGGCGTGGCTGCACTGCCCGCAGGTGCCGCTGTCGACGTCATCGAAATTGCTGCGGCCCTGGCGGGGGCCGGTCGACATTGTTCGGGTCGTTCGGGACCAGTGTGTTAGGGTCGCGTGCGGACGGCGTTCTTGGTACGTGCACCCCTCGCGCCTGAAGCCCTATGTCGCACCACGCACTCACACACCTTCATCTCGCAGGGGCCGGCCGCGTGACGTGTCCGGCAGGTTGGGGGAGGGGCCTCGTGACCCCCTTGTTGTTCCAAAACCCCCTGCCACTCTTTCGGATGCTGCAGGTGTGAGTCCACCTAGGGTGGTCTCGCCAGAGGAGCGGGAAGCGAGCCGGCCGCCTGTCCAGCAGGAAGACGGCTCGCGGGCTGTGTCCCCGGGGCCTCGAAATGTGCCGGACGCCCGTCATCTGGCCCCTCCTGACCCTCCGCAAGGAACGCTGGCTTCTGGCGATGGACCCGCCACACGGACTCGTTCGAAGGGTCTCAGGTTCTCCTGAGACCTGTCGCAGACACACTGCCTCCTCACGGGGCCTGGGTGTTCGAGTCACCTTGTTCGTTGGTGTGGTGTGTCCGGGGTGTTCTTGTGTACAGGGGGGTTGGGGTAAATTATCGGGGATAGTTGTGTTGTTGTTGTTCTGTTGTTGTTATTGTTGTGTTGAGGCTCACGCATTGTCATTGTCGTGTTCAGAATTCCTGGTTCGCGAGTTAGGGTTGGGATGTGGATAGTGATGCAGCCGGGACGGCTGCGTGCTGTATAGGGGGGGGGGTGATGTGGTGGTCAAGGTTGACACCAAGGTTGACACAGGTCACACAGGTCACACAAGCTAGGGGAGAGGTACGTACTGGTCTGGATCGGCCCGGATTGACAGGGACGAGAGGTGGTTGGAACGGCTCTGAGGGGAGGGGGCTGGCGAGAGCCAGGGCCCGAGACACCCCCGCCCCTCAGAGAGAGGGGATATATAAGACGGCTCCCGGAGAGCGGAGGGGTCGATCGGAGGAGAAGCTGAAGGAGGAGAGCCGGAGATCCTGGACCCCCAAGCCTCAAGGATGCCGCCCCGCTGGAACTGAGTGGGCTGAGTAGCTGTAGGCTAGGGAAGAGAGTAGCTGAGTAGCTGTAGGCTAGGGAAGAGAGTAACAGAGTAGCTGGAGGCTAGGGAAGGAGAGAAATGAGAATAGAGCCGGAGGCTGTACCTCCCTAGGTTGTGTGTGTGGGACTGTTTCCCCAGTGAGTCCTGAGGACTAGTGTTATCGGAATAAAAGCGTGTGGCCTCTACGAAGTGTCGGTCTCATTCAGGGAATACTACACATGCGCATCTGTACCTATCCGTACACGTGTGTGCGTACACGAGTGTTTGTGTACACGTGCGTACACGTGTATACACGTGCGTGTTGCGCGCGTGCACCTGTGCAGCTACGAGCAGTCGTTTCTGACGGCCGTGCTGGGCAGCGAGAGCGGGCGCTGGTGGCTCGGCATGGCGGCGCGACCCAACGACCAGGGCGGGGTCGACTTCATCTGGGACAACGGCATGGCCGTCACTTACACTCATTGGGGGCGCAACATGCCCGGTAAGATGCCTGCCTGGGGACACAGGAGGAGCCACAAGGAGATGGGGGACATGGGCATAGCGACACGGGGACATGGAGACATGGGGACGCACAGTGGGACACTGGGACATGGGTAAGCATGTGGACACGGGGACGTGGACACACGGGACACACGTGAACACGGGGAAACACGTAGACATGGGGGGATGCAGAGACATGGGGGGGATGCAGAGACATGGGGGACACAGAGATGGGGGACACGGGGCATGGGGCCACAGGGACATGGGGGGACATGGTGAGATGGGGATATGGGGAGACTGGACAACGGGAGATGGGACCACAGTGAGACGAGGACACGCGTACGACTGCCAAGGTGACACAGAGGCACAGAGGCTCGGCGACACATTCACTGTCTTTGTAATGCACCATTCTCCGACGCCCCTCCGGTCCCACCTCCTCCTGAAGTCTATTCTTCCGAATCGACGCTGGTCCCTCCTTTGTCTCCGCGGCCTGTCCCCCGTGCAGACACGCAGGCGGGGACGTGCGTGACCATGGAGGCCGGGACCTCGGGCGGCGGGCTGTGGCAGTCGGAGCCGTGCGACTCGCGTCTCCGCTCCGTGTGCGAGCGTCCGCGATCCGGCCACACCCCAGCCCCCCCGCAGCCCACCCCACCCGGGGGGTCGTGCCGCACCGACCTGGGCTGGGTTGGCTCCACCTCCCTGCACCACTGCTACCAGGTGCGGGGGCGTGGCGGCGCAGCACATGCACATGAACGCAAACGGACAGGTACACGCACACGTATGTTTTCCCCACCCCCCTCCATCCTCAAGCCTCTCAACCCTCTCCCTGACCTCTGAACCTGTGCCACCCAACTTTGACCTACAACCTTGGTACCGTCCCTGTCCAATCTCCAGCCCCAGTGCTTCGCCCCTCTCTAACCTCTGACCCTGGTACGCCTCTTCTCTCTCCGATCTCTCACCCCCCGTGCTGCTCCGCTCTGACCTCTTGTTGTCCGTGCCGCCCCTGCCTGCTCTTCTCCTGCAGATAAACGGGGGGCGGCCGTCCCAGCGAATGAACTGGCACGAGGCGCGGCACGACTGCCAGCTGAAGGGCGCCGAGCTGGCGAGCTTCCACAGCGCTGACGAAGAGGCCTACGTGGCCGGGCTGTCGGCCGGGCGATATCTCTGGATTGGCCTCCACGCGTTGGGCCTCACCGGAGGTGGGCAGGGGGATGTTCACCGCTTGCCCGCTTGCTCGTCATCTGATGTGGATTTTGTCAAAGTAGAAATATGGATTTGTAAAAAAATACATATATAATCATCTTGGCTCTATTGCTTAGGGTTGTAGCGCGTGTTTTTTTGGCACTGAGCACGTGGAGCGAAAAGTGGGATACCGTGCCGAACAACGCACAGCACACCTCGAAATCACGGCAGGGAGATACAGAGTGCAACAACTCTAACGCATATATACAAAAGTATTGTATTTCGATTTAATCGAAACGTCGTGAGATTTTTTTTTTCCATCTACGTGACTTTACCGAAAGAACCAAGAATAGTATTGTATTTGTCTTTTCCCTCCAAATTTATTCAAGTTGTGCTGTCAGTGAAATGTCCATTTGGAGTTTTTAACTGAGCAATGCATAACCCAAGTGGGTCGGAGAACAGCCCGTGAAAGCAGAGATTGCAGAACTACTTCGAGCACCTCTACACTGTATAGGTGCTAGAATTTTGAATTTATAATATAACGTTTTCACGCACCAAACTTAATGTTACTTTTGTGTGTGCAACCAGTAGTCACCAGGCTGAGACCATCAGCTTGCCACACATTAGAGCGTGGTTTAATCTCATCATGGGCGGCTGAAAACCCGACCCAGCAGCTCACGGGTACCGCTGTGGTTTCCTGCCCTGCGCTGAAAGGACCCCCCCCCCATGATATTCATGGAGTGCTCTTGCCCCCCCTTGTCTCCCTGTCCCCGTTGTGCGCCCTCACTCTCCCCCCGCCCCCAGAGATGGAGTGGTCGGACGAGACGCCCGTGGACCACATCAACTGGGGGCCGGGGGAGCCTAACAACGCGCAGAGCGTGGAGGACTGCGTGGAGGTGTCGGTGTCGTGGGGCAGATCCTCCTACTGGAACGACCTCAACTGCGACGCCGTGCGCGACTGGGTCTGCCGCATCCCGCGCTTCATTCAGCCTGTGGTGCCGCCCACTTTCCCACCCGACCAGCCCGGTGAGCACCGCTCGGGAGACGCTGGGAGACACCGGGGGGGGGGGGCTGGAATGACGGGGGGGGGGGGAGGCATGCAGACCAACGCGCAGGCACAGGGGCAGGCGTGCGAATGCTCGAGTCACGCAAGAGATGAGCTAGGGCATGGGTGCACGCATGGTGACAAGGTGGCCAGGAGTGGGGCCCCGGCCACACCGCTTGCTCGTGTGTTGTCCTGTCCTTGATGGGTGCTCGCTGACGGCACAAAAGTCCACGTTGGATCAAAGGGGAAGGGTGGGGTGGGTGGTATTTTGGAGGGTGTGTGTGTATGTTTGTGTCTCTGTGGCATAGTAGTTAAACGCAACATGGTACAAACCCAAACACCTGAGTTTTGAACACTGGCCACAACTAACATCGGTGGTGAGTGGTATCCAAACTGGTCATGGTCCCTCCTCGAGCTCAACTCAATCATAAATGAGTATTTGGTGCAGTGTGTAAAAACAATCATCACCTTCTTGTGCGCCGTGCCGGCTTTCATTGACGCTCGCTAATAAGATCGGCCTCAACACCCTGATCAAGGCTACGCAGTGGCAGAGGGATCATTGTGTGTACGGGGCACCTGTGTCTTAGTCTATGAGTGAGTGCGTGTGTGTGTGTGTCTCTTTGCCCGCAGCCCCCGAGTGTGGCTTCAGTCCAGGCTGGCGCAAGTTCCGTAACGTGTGCTACCTCTACAACGACACAGAGCGCACGGACTTCCACTCCGCATTGGAGAACTGCCTCTCCGACGGAGCCATGCTCGCATCCGTGCACAGCGTGGCCGAGCAGGCGTACTTGTCCGGCCTGGTATGACTGAGATGCGCGGGGACGTGCAGGGACTAGCGGGGACTCACGGGGACTCGGGCGGGACACTTTTGCAACACCCGGGGACAAATGAAACATGCTGGGAAGGACGGGGATACGCGGGCACGCACGGGGATGCCCGGATATGAGTGGGAATACACAGGGGCTCGCGGGAACATGTGAGGATACGCAGGGATGCACGGGAAAATGAACATGTTGATCGGGCGTACCTCTCTGCCCCTCGAAATGCCAGAATTGTGACACGTCGTAGAAATATCGGATGGCTTCCGTGCCTGGTTGATGATGCCAGAGCTTTTGTGTTGTAACGGTCAATGGCGTCGATGTTGAAGTTGGTGGTGGTGATTTTGTTGATTTTCAGGTGGGCAGAGGAGATTCAGCCCTGTCGTGGATTGGACTCTGGGAGATCGGGAACATCGAGGGCCAGTACAGGTGGGTCGATTCACGAGGACACATGGGGGGACACGTGGGGGGACACGTGGGGGGACACATGGGGACAGGGAAGCACTGGGACATAAACAGGGACACGCATGTGAAAATGGAAAATTGGGGACACAAAGACACAGACACACATCACATAGACCTGTTAATTCAACTGGGCAAGTCACGAGATCATATCCTGGACAGGGGTCAACTGTGCTATCATCAGCATCATCTCTGCCAGGTCAGTAATATGAGTACTGATTTGTTGGAAGTCAATAGTCTCCGTCTAATGGAGATTCGACCCCTTCCATAATAACGTTGAATTTCCCCCATTAACTGAGGGCCAACGAAAACGAATTTGCTGATATATTTATACAAACACGCGCAAGAGGAACACACGCACACATACAAACATACACATTGACCAACACACGCGCACGCACACTGCTACATGCACACACGTGCACAGATGTAGCTGCACGGCCAGTGTGTCTGCATCTGTCTGTGTGTCTCCCTGGGGGTGTGCATGTGTCTTCGTCTGTGTCATTTCACCTGTCTCTATTGTGTCTGTATCTATGGTGGTGTCTCATTGTGTCTGTGTCATTGTGTCCATGTGTCATTACGTGTATGTATTTGTCTCTCTGTCCCATTGTGTCTGTTCCTCTATGTATCCGTATATCACTATGTCTGTGTCTCATTGTGTCTGTGTCCCATTGCATCTGTGTTTCTATGTGTTTATGTATCTCTGTCCCTATGTGTCTGTGTCTCTATGTGTCTGCGTCTCATTGTATCTGTGTTTCTACATGTCTGCATCTCTGTGTGTCTGTGTCTCTATATATCGGTGTCCCATTGTGTCTGCGTCTCTGTGTGTCTGCGTCTATATGTGTCTGTATCTCACTGTGCCTGTGTCTCTATATGTATGTGTCTGTATGTGTCTGGGTCTTTATGTGTCTGAGTCTCTATGTCTCTGGGTCTTACCGTGTCTGTGTCTCTATTTGTCTGCGTCTCTATGCGTTTGGGTCTCTATGTGTCTGGGTCTCTTATGTGTCTGAGTCTCTGTGCGTCTGCGTCTCTACGTGTCTTGGTCTAACCATGTGATGCACACTCGAAATGAAGGACGTGGGCAGGTGCTCCAAAGGTAGGGCAAACACATTTATTGTGGTTAATCTGTAAGATGCAACAGCACGTGTGTCACACACAGCAATCATCAACCGAGTCGCCATTAACCACGTGACTGGTGTACAAGTCTGATTAATCAATAACCCTGCCAGCCACCCACAGGCCTAACTCAGTTATCACATGCTGGTGTACACACGTGCATTGATGTACTGCACAGCACATAAGGAGTTACACAAAACCACACTTTACTCCCTTGCTGCACGAGGAAATAATTAAAAGAGTGGTCCATTTGTAATGTCATTCTAGATTTGAAGTTTTCGTGACTGCAAGGATCCATATTCTTTGGTTCTTTCGGTAAAGTCACGTAGGTGAAAAATAAAAATAAATAAATTAAATCACGACGTTTTGATTGCAACACAAGCAATCATCATCAGGTGTGACAACCACAGCAAGAAAATTTTCACTGGAGTGGGAGAGATGCCAAGGTTAGCTCAGTTAAAGAAGCCTAATGTGCCACACGTGTCTGTGTTTCTATGTGTCCATGTCCCATTGTGCCTGTGTCTCACTGCGTCTGCATCTCCACGTGTGTCATTGTGACCCTGCCCCCCCTCCCTCCCCACCAGATGGACGGACTTCAGTCCCGTGGGGTACACCAACTGGGGCCAGGGGGAGCCCAACGACGCTGGGGGCGCGGAGCAGTGCGTGGCCATGTCCCGCCTGAACGGTACGCGGGCGCGGCGTTTTGCTTTCGTGTCCCAACCGTAAACTACGTCTGCTTCGCAGTTCAGAGTCGTTCAAAGAATTGAAGGAAGCCGTTGTGGCGTCACGGTCCAATTAAACATTTACTCGACGTATTCATTCATTGGGAAATGCATCGCAATCGTCGCGCACCCCCACCCCCCTTCCTGCGATACAGAGGCCTGGCCTCTGCTCTTCTCCGATGGGGAGGGGTCCAGTAGAGATTCTGTGTTGGGGGTATAGGGGGGGAGGACACGGGGGGGGCGGAATGGGGGGGGGGGCACGGGGACCCTGGGGGGTGGGGGACGACACGGAGGGGGGGGGGGGGAGAACACTTTGGGGAGGGGGGGGGGCATCGTATCAGTGATTCACCGCGAAGCAGAGTGAACGTGGGTGGGGTCAAAGGGTCATTGTTGTGGTGCAGTGCCCAGAACAGCGCCCACCTAGAGTGGGACCTGCTATGAAATCTTATCAGGACCCCTGCTGAAAACGAATCTTGAGACTTGGTGATTCAGTTTATTAACAATACATAAAGACATAAAAACAATCTGGAGAATGTGGTGACCCACTTCACGAACCCTAATCCCGACCTCGTCCTCACCACCTTCCCTTCTCTCCTCTCTTCCGCTCTCCCCAAACCTCTCCCTCTGCCCCCCCACCCCCCCCAGGTCAGTGGAGCGACTACAACTGTGGCCAGTCGAGCATGGGCTACATCTGCAAGAAATACCCAGGAGGCTCGCACACGCGCCCCCCCCCGACCCCGCCGTGGCATGGCAATTGCCCGAGGGGTACTTGCCGCACGCACAAACACGCACGCGTGCACGTACACACACACACAAAAACAAAGATTCCCCCGTGTAGCCTTAACAGACTGTTGGGGCAAGTGCTGTTAGCGAGCACCTAATGAAGGCCGGCACGGCACACGAAGGCGTGGGTCGCCAGCACCACATCCGGGCCGCTTTTTTCTCCCTAGTGCAAAGTTTTTACACATCGCACTAGGTACTCAATTGAGGCTGAGTCGACCTAGGGGAGGCCCAGGACCGGCTTTGTAGCGCAGCGCGCTAACCGCTACACTACTGCTCCCCACTTGCACAACCACTACCAGCACCGCCACCGCCATCACGCACTGTCGAGGCCACGCTTGCAGATGCAGATGTGTTCTGCTTTCCCCGTGTGTCCCCACCCATCCCTGTGTATCCTCACCTGCCCCAGTGTCTCCTTGTGTCCCCGCTTGTCCTCGCCTGTCCCCACGTTGCCGTGTGTCTCACCTGTCGCCGCGTGTGTCCCACCTCTCCTCGCATCACGTGGCGGCGCAGGCTGGATGCTCTTTGGCAGCAAGTGCTTCCTGGTGAGGGGAGCGGCGGGCGGCACGGCCGAGGAGGGAGTCCGCTCGAGCTGGAGCGACGCTCGCGCCTGGTGCCGCTACAATGGGGGCGACCTCGCCGTGATCAGCACGCACCGCGAGAACGGTACGCATGCTGCGGTATATGGAGAGAGGCAGAGCGGTACAGAGAGAGAGAGAGCGCGCCTTCTGTGTATGTCACATGTCCCCTTGTTTCATTGTCTCTCCGATGGGCCCCCCCCAATATTTCCTCGTCGCCACGTGTGACCCCATATCTTCTGTCTTCTTGTGTTCCCCCCCCCCCCCCCACGCGCCGTGTATAGCTCCACTGAGCTATGTAGCTCTATTTTAGAAGTGACCGGGCCACAATGATAGCTCAACAAAGTGGCTTATCACATGGAAATTTATATCAGCCAAATAGTCTAAACACACGTTTCTAAATGTGGAGGGAAAATCCGGAGGGCCCAGAAAAAATATCCACACGACCACAGGGAGAACATGCCAAAAAATCTAGAGGCGTCGGGGTCAGGATCGAACCCACGACCTCCTGCATACCAGGCGAGGTAGTTAACATCTCACCACCGTGGCGTCCTGACCACGTTCCCCTCTGCTTGTCCCCACTGCTTGTCTCTATTGTCCCCCGTTAGATTTTGTGGCGAGCCACCTGGAGGGGCTGGGGGTGTCCGTGTGGATCGGCTTCTCGGATTCACTCTCCGAGGGAGAGTTCACCTGGGTCGACGGGAGCCGCGTCACCTTCACCAACTGGAACAGCGGGGAGCCCAACAACGGCGGCATACGGGGGGTGAGTTAACAGGGCGAGGCGCACGTGGGGAGTCACACCAAGGCACTCCCTCGTGTCCCTTGCCGGCCTTAACAGAGACTCGCTAACAGCATTTGCCCGAACAGTCTGTTGAACACTAAAGCACGTGTGTTGTGGCGGTTAGCACGCTGCGCTACGAACCCAGCGACCCGAGTTCGATTCCCGCTCACGGCCAACACCAGTGATTATTATCTGAACCAGTTCTGGGCCTCCTCTAGGTCGACTCAGCCTCAGGTGAGTACCTGGTGCGGTGCATAAATATCGCTGCTTGGGAGACAAAGGCGGCCGGGGCACGATGCTGGCCACCCACCTTCTCGTGTACCGTGCTGGCCTTCATAGGTACTCACTAACAGCACCTGCCCCAACAGTCTGCTAAGGCTATACGGGGAATCTTCGTCCTTGTGTTCGTGTGTAGGAGCACTGTGCGGAGATGGTCCATCATGGCCGCTCTGCCGGCCGCTGGAATGACATGCTCTGCTCCGTTGTACGCGGCTTTGTGTGCCACATGAAAAAAGGTGAGCGCCAAAACATGTGCAGACATATGGCCCCTTCCATAAGAATGTGGAATTTCCAATAGTGCAGTTTCATTGAGCGTGTGTCGATGTCTATTGGTCATTGATCCAGTGGTGGTAGTCATTTCTCATTCTTGTGGTGAGGGTCATAGGAGTGGTGCATGCGGGTTGGGTAGTGATTGGGTCTGGCCAAAAGGAAGTGCTGGTTAGGTGGCATTGGGCTGTCTCTCCATGTGTTCCCCTGACTGTCTCCCCGTGTGTCTCTCCCCGTGTGTCCTTCGAAATGTTTCCCCATGTGTCATCATGTGCGTTTCCCTCTGTCTCCCCTGTGTTTGCCCCTTGTGTCTCCCCTAGGCATCTATGATTCGTTGATTAATATCACTTACGATACATGCAAATGATATTTAAATGACATACAAATTCTATGCTAGGAATACAGCACGTGACCAAAATCGAGAATCAATTACAAGGGAGACAGTAAAAGAGAATCAATAGATCATCGCTAGCGGAGTTGACCGTTAGACATCAGATGGTTGCATCTCGCGTTGTCCGACCCCGCGTGTGTTCCCACCTTCCCACCTCACCCCCCACATGCCCCGCTCCCCCCGCAACCCCCGGGCACCGCAGACTCCGTGATTCCCGACCCGAAGCCCACGAGTGGTCACTGCCCGACGGGCTTCACGTCGACGCGCAGGTCCAGCTGTTACCGCGTGAGTGACACCGTCGCCACCTGGGAGGCGGCGCGCGACGCGTGCCGGGCCGAGCACCACGGCGCCGACCTCGCCAGCGTCGACTCGGCCTACGAGCAGGCATTCCTCAACGCCGTCGCGCAGCCCGAGAAAGACGACATGTGGATCGGGCTCAGCGACAAGGTGGGTGACGGCCTTGGCGGCGAGGGTAGGGGGGATTGCTGGTGGACGAGGTCGACCGGGCTCTTTGGCGCTGGGCCTTTCAGGGCACTGACAATTTGTAAATACATATCAGTAGGTGATAGTTTTTTTTTCAATAAATTTTTGGTAACATGTGCATTCGATGTTTTGCAGGTAATGTTGACACAAATGAGCCAGATGACAGATTAAAAAAAGAACAAATAAAAGGTTTATTGCTGGGCATGTAACGAACGTTTCGCCCCCACTGCGATTTAATCACGCACGAGTGTCCCCGTGTCTCTCCCGTGCGTCGTCACGCATCCCCATGTTTCCCCACGTCTCCCAATGCGTACCTCTGTCTTCCCCGTGCCTTCCTGCACTTCTCCACTCATCCCCGTGGCTCCCTCGTGCCTCCCGCATGCGCGTAGGTCAAGGAGGGAGAGTACACTTGGTCGGACGGCTGGCCCGTGCTCTACTCGAACTGGGGCTTCGGGGAGCCGTCCCGCGGGACCGGACAGGGCTGCGTCAGCGCCAACGGCATCGGATTTTTGCGAGGCTCTTGGAACGACACCGAGTGCTCGCGACACCTGCACTACGTGTGCGAGTACAACAACGGTGCGTGTGCACACGCGCACGCACGCGTACAGATGCGTGCGTCAACACTCCAGTACACGCACCAAGCGCCCGCACCACCTGCGCAACGCACGCGACCACAGCGACGTTTACACGTGCACGCCGACAGACGTACGCACGCGCTCAAGTGCACATTTGCGTGCACATACGCATCCGCCAAGTGCCAGTGCCCACATGTACACTTGCATACGCTCAAGCACGCGTGCACGTGGGCATGCACGCACACACACAAACGTGCCTGCCCGCACACAAGTGGACGCTCGCAACGCGCACTCTCCAACACGCACACAGGAACGCTTCACACCCCCCCGTGTCCCCATGTCCTCATGTAGAGCCTCCTCCGCCGACACCGCCAGCGGTTGGCGGGAGCTGCTGGGATGGCTGGCAGCCGTACGGACGCCACTGCTACTTCATCTTTGACGGAAGCCTTGGGGGTGCGTCCAGTGTGCCTGCGTGTGTACACGTGCCTGGGCGTCCGCGTGTCTGTCCGTGTGTCTGTGTCCGTATGCTCGTGTGCACGAGTGTTCACGTGCTTTGCCCGTGTTTCCAAATTTGCGTCGGTCTATCAGTCTGCCCCCATGTCTGTCTGTGCAATTCTCTGTACATGCTGTGCTTCTGTCCATCCGGAGCCCCAGTGTCCAGCTCTGTGTGCCGGGTGATGCTGGTATGAACGCTGGAAATGTTTCTCGCTGTGTCTGTGTGTCCCAGTAGCTGTGCTTATGTTTTAATACCAGTATGTATGTCTTGTGTGTGTGTTTATATGTCTGTGTGTGTTTGATTCCTGCTTGTGCATGTTAATGACTGTCCGTGTGTGTGTGTGTGTTGATCCCCACGCGTGTCCGTATCTGCACGACGACGTCGGTGCGCCCGTGTAGGTGCGACCACGTGGCCCGAGGCTCGCCAGGAGTGCGAGATCGTCCACGGGTCCCACCTGGCGTCCATCCACAGCCGCGCCGACACCGAGTTCCTATTACGTGCAAACTTCACTCGCTACCACAACCTGTGGATTGGACTTGGACGAGACGAGCTCCGTGAGATGCGCGCACGCACGCACACGCACGGACACGCGCAGACACGCACGCCGAAACGCACGGGCACACACACCCTCTCTCTGCTTCTCCCCACGTCTTTGAATATCTCCCCCGATTTCTCTCCATGCCCCGATGTCTTCATTTCCATCCACACCCCTTCCCCCCAGCTTCTCCGCACTTCCCTTAATATTTCCCCCTGTCTCTCTGTGCCCTGATGCCCATGCTTCTCCCCTCACCTCTGAATACATCCCCCCGTGTCCCCCTGTGTCCTTCCGTGTTCCTCCCGTGTCTCCGTGCGCGAGCAGTGGGCTGGTCGTGGACTGACGACACTCCTGTCGGCTACACCAACTGGGCAGACGGGGAGCCCAACGACATGATGCACGAAGAGGCATTCATCGAGTCGTGCGTCGAGTTCTACCACCAAGACGGCACCTGGAACGACCAGGATTGCGAGCAGAAGCGCGGCTTCATCTGCCGCATTAATCAGGGTACGCTTTCATTTTATCGATGAGCGCACCTAGGGGAGAGGCCACGGAGAACCGGGCACCGATGGTGCGTAGCCTGGGCTGGGAATTGAACCCAGGTGGACCAGGTTGGAGTGATGACGGAGACACCCGGTCATGTGTGCTACTCTCACTGCCCGTCACCTGGGGGTGGTGGTTTTATTAGATGCTCATGAGGTGCAGTAATGTGTATGTATCAACTATTTAAAACTATTTGTTATATTACCAGGTAAGGCCCACTGAGCTATATAGCTATTTTTCAGAAGCGACCTGGCCACAAATGATAGCTCAATGAAGTGGCTTATGACGTGGACATTTATGTCAGCTAAATCGTCTAAACGCACGATTCTAAATGGGGAGGGAAAAACCGGAGAACCCGGAAAAAAATACACGCGACCACAGGGAGACCATTCAAAAACTCCAAATATAGAGGCGTCAGGGTCAGGATCGAACCCACGACCTCCTGCATACCAGGCGAGGTAGTTAACATCTCCTAGCCACCACGGCGCCCTCTATGCACGTGGCGAACCTCAGCAACAGGCGGCAAATGCGCCACCACCTTGACACCGCCATCGCCAACGCCACACATGGTGATGATAGCGACAGCGGTGTTCATAATCGCAATATTGATGATGATGATGATAAGAGTGATGATGACGAAAGTAGCTTTGGTGATGGCAGTGATGATGTCGATAATGGCGATGATGATGATGTTGTGTTTGATGCTATTTGCAGTTATTGAAGATGTCTCGACTGAAAAGACGCCAATCAATCCAGACAAAGGTGGGTGCTAAAAATGATAATACATTTTTTTTATTAAAGCGCTTTCACATCAAAAACACTTCCAGAAATTGCGCACGTGCACATGCGTGTATTCACACACGTGTGTGTGTGTATATATTCATCAGTGTGCATTAAGGCATGAACATTGGTGTGTAATTTCTCGTGTGTTCACCTTTTGTGTTGGCACGCGTGTTCGCTATAGTTTCCATGTCTGTGTCGTGTCTATTTACACCTGCCTGTGATTCGCCAAACGGGTTCACGAGTGTGGATGTGTGATGAATGCGTTTTATTTGTACGTGAAATTGTGCGTACGTGTGTGTGCGCGCGTGTTCGTGTGTGTGTTTTCTAACATTTGTGAGTGTTCATTATTAACCTGGTCAAGGCCTATGATGCCATGAAGAGGCCTTATTAAAATGGTCGCGACGTACAATACCATCACGAGGCCCGGGCTGTGGGTTATTCTCCATGCTCTGCTGACGATCATTGAGGATCTTGATGGTGGTGGGCAGGCCCGGGTAATGCTGCGTAGCCAGAAATATTTTCACCACAAAGTTCCAGAAGCGTTCCATAGCTATACCAGTGACATGTCTAATTGGTACAGTGAAATTTTGCGTTAACGCATTTGCCAAGTTATTGACACTTTTTTGATTTATGAAATCGAATTTCCGCGTTAACGACATGTCACAAGGCATGCGCCATGAGATCAATCTAGATTCACCTGGGAGGCTGCTTCATCCATCCGCGACCTTGCCTCCACATGTCACCTTTCCATGCAGATCTCTTAGTGGGTTCCCTGAAAAGGTACATTATTTTTCTTTTCAATGAATTATTATTCATTCGTTTTAATGTTTATGCTCATTATTATAATTTTTGTATTGTTAAAAGTGATATCGGTGTGTCTTTTTAGGTGAGACATAGAGTTGGAATGACTGTCCGAAACACATCGATGATTGTTCGTAGTAAATGAATGGGTAAAGCCATTTCGATTTACGAAATGTAGTTTTTTCTAAATCCAGGAATGTTTTACATCTCATTTTTGGAGTAGGGATTGGTGGGGTCGGGAGGGGCAGGGGGGGGGGGGTGCGTGTGTTCACGTATCTGTTCACCGTGTCCATTGACGCGTGTTTCTTTACTTTGCGTTGACACGTGCAATGCTAACACGTGTCACCATGTGTCACTGGCTGTAGTCATTCCCACGATCGTGGTTCCCGTGGTGGCGGTGGTCACGGTGTTGCTCTTGATCGGCGTGGTGATCACGGCGTACTACGCGAAGCGTCGCCGTGACAGCAACAACGGCGGTGACAGCTCGAAAATCTCCGAGCCACGCAGCAGCGCCACGGTTCCCACGGTAACATCGCCATCACCGCTAACATCACCGCCACAATCACAACAAATTACCTGCAAATTACTCGGTTGGGATTACAGCAACATCTCTCCCCCGCCCCCACCCCCATACTGAAAAAAACATGGCAGGACTCTCCTGAACTAGAGTCTTGGGACTCGTTGATGAGGCTTCTTTCAGGGCAAACTGGAATCATAATAATTCCTGATACGCGTGTTTCTCCCACCCCCGCCCCCATCTCTGTCCGTTACAGCCCGGCTTTGAAAACCCGCACTACTACGTGTCGGAGGAGCAAGGCGGTCAGTAGACGGAGGTTGTAATGTGGTGATCGGCTGAATCACTAGCACAGGAATACAATGTCACGTACGCGTGACAATTCACACACACACACACAAGTATACAAATAAAGGATAAGCTGGATATTAGCACACAACGCTTGAGAGTCACAAAATAAATAAGCAAACAATACACCTTCATTTATCCATAAAAAGACACTGGCATTTGGCGTTCCGGTAGGGCATAATTTCAGCAGCATCGGTTCAATGTCGCTTGTGTTAAACCAGTGCGGTTGAAATTATCTGAACTTACCAAACGGTGCTGCACAGTAGTCATAATAATCATAATTTCAGCGTGCCTCCGCAGAGTATCGCTCGCTCTAGAAGAGGGAGAACGACTCGGAGGCACTCGGGACCCTCAGACAAAGTGGGAAGGCAGCCACGTGGCGAGCTGGCACCAACGAATTGCCCAAAGCTCCTCGACACATTAAGATGTTTTCAACCAAGTCGGGTACGGGTAGCCGGGTATCGGGTAGGGTACGGGTATCGGGTACCCGGTTGCGACCTCTGATGTGTGCGTTTCATCCGGGTGCCCCGGTCTCGTCCCGCTCCGTGTATAAAGCACCCTGGTGTGGCCGGGTACGGGTACGGGTAAGGAATCAAAATCCGTTTGCGACCTCTGGCACACATGCATGGTTGGGCAACAGTCTGCGTCATACGAAGATGACAGCTGGAGGTGCTGGAGATGCCGTACCGCCTTCTCCTGGCAAGCCGGGGTACGGCTGCACCTCAACATGAAGGGAGTTTTGCAGCATTCGCGCGACCCTGCCTCCACAGTGCTGGATTACAGGTGGGGGGAGTCAAAGGGGAGTCACGGATGCCTGGCTAATACGTATCTACTACACACAAGGTGTGACCTATATCCAGCTTCCACTGTACATAAGCTCTCATACCATACTCGGTGTGCATTACACAAGTGTGCAACATTCATGTATGCCCACTATGGATGTACAATTTTGTGTCAGGACGAGGCCTGTCCCAGGTTCGCCCCTCCTGGTTGTTCGATGGCTTTTCATGATTCGGGATCATGATTCATATGAAGAATTGTTTCTTTTTGTTTCGTTTGTACTGCGTTTGTATTGTCTGTCGGCTATGTCCTGTCTCCTTTGTTAATTTAACCTCGGTAATATGGGCGTGTAATTCGCACACGATTGCCAGTAATCATAAATAATACTTAAACGTGCGATTGGATGCATTTATCCTTGTCATAAGAATACATTTTAATTGAATAATTGCAAGCATGTACGTTTGCATACACGCGCATGCCTACTGACTTGTACACACAAACCCAAGTGCACATACATTCGCCTACATTGACACTCATCTTAATTCTGACCCACATGTGCAACACACTCGACATAACAACAACAACAGCTGTCATCCGCCACTAAGTGACGGCGACGTCACGACAGCGCTTGTGCCAGGCTAGGTGCACTTTTAACGGCCCTGTGAAGTCCTGAAGGCTCGTTGCTGGCCGGGCACGGGACAGACGCAGGTGTTCACTGACTGACATGAATGGCGGATGCACCACCTGCGTTCCCCACTGTGCCAAAACACACACTGACCTCCATGTCACGCGCGGAGCCAATCTTGCTGCACACGTTTGTATTTGAGTCTAGTTGAGACAGAGTGAGTGTGGAGTTTCCCTCAGGCCCTGCTCCTCGCCTCGACGGGAAACTCGCAGATTTCTAACTCCCCACTTTACGTGAAAAATTTGTCATTGTTCGACTCGTTTCCAACTGCTTTGTAATAAAACAAAAAGTCAGCACCAAACGACTCACAAGTTGTCTCCCTTCTCGCACAACCGTGGGACATTGCTCATCTCCGTCAATATTCTTGTGCCAGCCCTGGAAATTCCACATTCCGATGACAAGCACCAGTCTCGCCATAGCATAGGGTCTGTCGTCGCTGAAAGAAATACGACATTTTGTATATCCGTGTAAACTTGTTTGAATCCTGTTTTGTGGTGGCATTTTTATTAATGCAGTCGGTGACCAAATTGCCCAGCACTTCTAGATTTGAAGCTTTCGTGACTGCAAGGATTCATACTCTTAGTTCTTTCGGTAAAGTCACGTAGGTAAAAAATTTAATTAAAGTTAATAAAAATAGAACAATAACCTACGTGACTTTACCGAAAGAACTAAGAGTATGCCCAGCACTTGCTCTCGGTAGTTCTTGTAAGATAATTCGGGGTGTGCCCGAATAGTGCATAGGATAGCGACCACTATACATAAAAGGGCGGGTGCCATGGTGGCGAGATGTTAACTACCTCGCCTGGTATGCAGGAGGTCGTGGGTTCGATCCCGACCCTGACGCCTGTATATTTGGAGTTTGCGGTGTCTCTCTCCCCGTGGTCGCGTGGATTTTTCTCCGGTTTTTGCCTCCACGTTTAGAAACACGTGCTTTAGAGTTTTTGTGCTGCTTTAAATTTCCATGTGATAAGCCACTTCGTTGAGCTATCATTTGTGTGGCCAGGTCGTTTCTGAAATATATCTATATCGATCAGTTGGCCTTAGCCGGTAGAACAAAACGTAGTATGTATAGGCTGCTACGAGGCTACGGTGCGGGCAGCAGAGCGCTGTGCAGCAAATCGACTGTGTTGTGCTACGCCCTTTAGGACGATACTGTAGTTGCAACGAACTAGACGGTAGACAACACACAGGGTAAGCGACACAAAATATAGATGAGAGAGTGGAGACATTCTCAAACGCGATACACAATTGGGGAGGCCCGACCTGAGAAAGAAATGCACAGATGACAGGGTTCAGATATCTGGGTGTTACTGTGGACCGGACATCTGACCTCCCATGAACGTTTGGAGAAAGTCTGTGGAGAGACATCGACCAGAACGAACCTCTTAGGGAAACTTGCGGTCGCCAGCTACACCTTCACTCCGGCATTGGTACCTTGACCCGAGTGGAGGTCTGCACTCCCGTGCATCCGTTGACAACAACAACAACAACAGCACCCACCCGCCGTTCGTCACGAAGTGGCGGTGACGTCACCCGGCGCTCGTGCCAGGCTAGGTACACCTTGAGGCCACGTGAAGTGTCGAAGGTTCGCCGGCAGGGGATCATGGGACATGCCCAGGTGCCGTCGGGTGATTGAGATGACTGGCAGTTGCAACACCTGGGCTTCCTACTGCCAGCTTGCTGCATCTTAGCCACCTCGCGTTTTCCCCATTGTGAGCGTCGCTCCTCTTCCCTCTGTTGTTGCTGGAGAGCGACTGCCTCCAACTGCCCAGCAGCGTCCTTCCAATCCTCATCCACATAGGCCGATCTTGACACCGCTGGTACCAGTCATCAGCCCATCTCTTCTCTAGCCCGTGCTGTGCCTATTTAGCCCCCTCTATTCGGCCAAACAGAAGCTGCTTGAGCATGTGGTGGTTGGGCATGTGAGCTACATAGTCAAGTCAACGCAGCCTCGTCTGCCAGAGGAGTTCATTGATGGGATTGTGTCCAGATCTTTCAAGGATCCGTGAGCTCCTCACACAATCCAGTCTGGTTAAAACCAAGATGACATTGTATAGGCAGGCCTGCCTGAACCTTTCAAACCCACGCAGATGTTATTTTAAAGGGCTCCACGTGTCGCAAGCATAGAAAAGGGAGGGCATAACTGTGAAGACAGAGCTTTGTATGGAAGGAAAAGTCTGGTAGCTTCCACACAGCGTTACGCAGCTGATGGAGAGATAACCCCGCTCTAGGAGTGAGACCTCAGCGCCGTTACTATCAAAGCAGTCGCTGAAACAACCACAACCATAAATCACTCAACCGCAACCATAGATCACGAAAATCGTGCCAACACAACACCAACAGCCACAAAGAAAACACACACGACTACTCAAACACAACTACAAACACAACATCAACAACCACAAAGAAGACACATAACTGCTCAAACACAACTACAAACACGGAGAACGATTCTTCTCTGCGGTCGTGTCAGAAAGTAATGCAGGACGTAACGCCTGCTCGGAAATTTACGCTTTACCTTTTGCTTCAATCCAATAGGCGATCGTAAATGTGACAAATCGTGGCCTCTGCAGAAATGTATAGAATTGCGTAAGCCGATCGGTACGCGGGGCTCCTAGAGAGAGAGAGAGATACTGAAAGGCACGGAGAGATGGGGGGGGGGGGCAGAAGGGGCGTGGTGGGAACCCATTCCCAGCCCCCACCCCCCCACTTGGAGTAAGTGTCTAATATGGGCATTCACGACTACTTGGTGTCTAAGGGAACATCTTAGCGGGATTCCAAACATGCATTGTGCGAGTTGAGGTGGGTCCCGTGATCGAGTGAGCGAGCACATTGCGGGCGTTCTGCGACCCGTTACGCGTCACTCGCGCGTGACGTCACAATGCACGCGACGTCACAATGCACGCGACGTCACAACGTGCGGTGTCCATGGAGGGGGCGTGCGTGCGATGACGTAGCGTGTGTACGTTTGCATCCGGGGCAGCTGCAGTGTCACGAGGTCAGCTCCCATTCATGAGCAACATCGACGGCGAACATCGGAACCCGTCCTGTGTCTCCCCGTAGGTGGACTCGGCCTTGTAGTAGTAGTATGTATCCTGGTGCGGTGTGTAAACATCATCACTGGGGAGACAAACGCGGCCGGGCGTGGTGTTGGCCAACCACATCTGCCATGGGCCTTTCCGGCCTTATTGAAGTTCTCCATAACAGCGCTTTCCCGAACACAGTCTGTAAAAAATGCTATTTTGGGGATCTTTGTTGCGTACATGTAATGACATAATCTCACAGCAAACATCACTCGTTAATTCGGTTTAAGCGACAATTTAAGGGGATTAAAACATCGAGCAAACGTTTTCCAAACAAAGAGTGACCCATCGCTCCGCATGCACTCACGTCCACTCTACGCATGCACACACATCCACTCTACACATGCACACACGTCTATTCTACACATGCACACAGGTTCACTCTACACATGCACACAGGTCCACTCTACACATGCACACACGTGTACTCTACACATGCACACACGTCTATTTTACACATGCACACACGTGTACTCTACACATGCACACACGTCCACTCTACACATGCACACAGTCCACTCTACACATGCACACAGGTCCACTCTACACATGCACACAGGTCCACTCTACACATGCACACACGTGTACTCTACACATGCACACACGTGTACTCTACGCATGCACACAGGTCCACTCTACACATGCACACAGGTCCACTCTACACATGCACACAGTCCACTCTACACATGCACACACGTGTACTCTACACATGCACACACGTCCACTCTACACATGCACACAGGTCCACTCTACACATGCACACAGGTCCACTCTACACGTGCACACAGGTCCACTCTACACATGCACACAGTCCACTCTACACGTGCACACAGGTCCACTCTACACATGCACACACGTCTACTCTACACATGCACACACGTGTACTCTACACATGCACACAGTCCACTCTACACGTGCACACAGGTCCACTCTACACATGCACACACGTCCACTCTACACATGCACACACGTCCACTCTACACATGCACACACGTGTACTCTACACATGCACACACGTCTACTCTACACATGCACACACGTGTACTCTACACATGCACACACGTGTACTCTACACATGCACACACGTGTACTCTACATGCACACACGTCCACTCTCCATAGGGCCACCTTTTAAGGCCTCCGTTATTTACGAGCGTGTTGAGTTTTTTTTCGTAATAAATAATACATACATACAATCATAAATAAGACTCGTGGTGGGAGGGGTCACGTTGAGTAAGCTGCAGTTGCACGTTTAAGTAATCATCATTCACACAAGATCGATGCAATACAAAAATGTGACGTTGAATTGTGAAGTTGTGGGTGGGGGGGGGGAATCGCTATAATCTCCACGAAAATCGTAAATGTTTATATCATATCCTATCACGACAATCGATACCTACGGTGGCAGTGTCGGGTATAGTTGTAGGAATGTGGGATTCTGCTCAGGGCCGTCGTTTGACCATACTTCCCCACGCCGTGTTTGACGGAACGCGACATATAGCCAGGGCTACATTACCATGGCAGGCTCACTTCACGCAGAGATCGGCCGACATTGAATTCCCATAAAGCGGTGGTACAGTACTGTAGTCATATTAACCAGCGCCGGAGGAATGCACATTATAACGAAGACGATGGTGATGATGGTGATAATTACGAGTTAAATCGAGACCAGTCTGGGAATTGAACTTTGCGCCCCTTTTGAGTGTCGAGACGAGCGCGCTAACCGCTGTCCCACCTGTCTGGGTTTAATCCGAACGAGTCTTAGGTTCTTAGCTGGGGGGTGGGGGGGTGCAGAAGGGAGGGGTGGGAGTAGCCACTCTCGGTGCTGATGAAAGGCTGGAAAATCGCCTACCACACCGAATCATCGTGACCCTTGTTTCCATGTGCGAGCGTGTACACGTGTACACGTCTCGGTAGTGCAGCCGTTAGCACGCTGCTGCGACGAAGCCGGTGAACCGAGTTTCATTCCGACTCACGGACACCAGTGACAATTATCTGAACGGGTCCTGGGCCTCCCCAAGGTTGACTCAACCTGAAATGGGTACCTGTGCCATGCCGGCCTTCATAGGTGCTCGCAAACAGCGCTTGCCCCAAAAGTCTGTTAAGGCGATTGCGGGGGATCTTGTTGCAAATTCTGAACTGGTCGCGAAGGGCTTCCAGTGAGACGACTCTACATTAAACGACTACCTGGTGCGGTGTGAAAACATCCGCACTGGGGAGGAGACAAAGGAGCTGCTGGCCAAACCTCCCGTCCATAATTGCGTCGTCCCACCCTTAATAGGTGCTCGGAAACATCACTTGCCCAAAAAGTCTGTTTAGGGTACGGTGGGGATTTTTTGTCTTTATGTGAGCGCTGGACCACAGCCCCCCTTTTTTCCAACGTGTTCGACGCGGCGAGTGGTGCCGTATGGGTAATGAGCCGACGATGGTCAGCTTTTCCCGCAGTAGCATAGTTACATATTTCACAACTTACTGCAGTGTTACCACCGTCTGGTGCCTATGTCCATTGTCCTGGCTGTCCGTCTGTCTGGGTGTCAGTTTTGTGCATCAGTCGATGCGTGTGTGCGTATGGGTGTATGCGTAAAAAACAACCCCCTACCTCCTCGTGGTGCCGGGCGGCAACGCTGTGGTGGGCAGTGCCGTGGGGGGAGGGACAATTTAAATTGGCCTTTCCCCTCATGGCGTATGTAATCACCACAGCGGCGGAATTGTTTTTATTAATAAGCTTGTGCCGGAGGCCCCGGGGGGACAGGCGGCTATGACGTCTCCTGGCCAAACCCCATTTGGCAGAGCCAGGAGACTGAATCCTTACCCTCAAGACTCCTGCAGAAACAACAAAAAACTACTACGTGTGGCCACGTGGAATGTTCGAACGCTCACTGTGGAGGAGAGGGTGCCACTCCTCTGTCGGGAGCTGGACCGGCACCGCCTGGATCTCTGTGGTATTCAGGAGGTCCGGTGGACCGGATCTGGCTCCTGCCACCATGAGGGGTGGACAGTCCTCTTCTCGGGGCAGGAGACTGCCAAACAACGGCGTGGGAGCATGGCGGTGAGGTGTGGGAAGCTGTAAGCCCCAGGCTACTTTGGGCTCGCCTTCCCATCAACCAGAACGAGGAGTGGTGGTCGTGGTTACTTATGCCCCCACCGAAGACGAACATCCGTGGAGGAATGCAGGCAAGGTTGACCTCCTGTCACGGGAGCTAGCTAAAATGGCCCCTCAGGATAGAGTCATCTTGGTGGGTGACTTCAATGCCCGAGTTGGTCATGATGCTGGCACCTGGTCTGTAGTGTTTGGAAGGCATGGGCCAGATCAGCTCAATAACAACGGCAGGAGGCTGCTAGATTTTTGTGCTTGTAATTACCAACACGCTCTTCCGGCATCGGTGCATCCACACAACATCATGGATGCATGCCGAGGTTTAGGACTGTGACTCATGCAGCTGCCATGGCTGCTTTGGGTCCACGGTCCAGACCTCCCCAGAGACCCTGGTTGATAGAGGAGGTGTTCAAGCTGGCTGAGAAAAAGCGACAGACCCACTCTCATCGGCTACTACATCCCATGTCGGAGAATGAGGATGCTTACTGCAGCCTTCTTCTCGGAGGTTCGGAGAGCCGTGAGATGCTGCAAGGATGGGTGGTGGTCACGGGTTGTTGAGGAGATGGAGTCTGCCTCAATGGCACGCGATCACAAATCGTTCTTTAATTCCATTAAAAAAAATACCTGCAGCGCCACACCTATCACCATCATTAGGGGAAAGAATGGTGATCCAATCTCCGACCCCCAGGAACAGGTTTGCAGATATGCTGAGCATTTCTGTGAGGTCTTGGGGGAGGGGAAATCCCTCAGCCTGGAAAACAACGTGGGGCAAAGTAGGGTTGACCATGCCGAGGCTGCAGTGCCTCAAATATTGTAAGAATAAGTAATCCCCTGTGAGTGGCTGGTTGAGGTGCCATCTGTTGAGGAAGTACTGAAGGTGATCCAGAGTCTGAGACCAGGAAAAGTACCGGGCAGAGGGAGGGTGGCATTTGTGCACAGACTGCCCTACATGACATCATTTAGAATCGACATCACGCGTTTAAAGTATTTTGCTGATTTACTGTACATTTACACGTGATAAGCCACTTCGTGGAGCTGTCATGTGTGGCCAGGTCACTTCTGAAAAATAGCAATATAGCTCAGTGGGCTTTACCTGGTGAATATAACATCGTAAACAAATTGTTGGAGCTCACATAGATACGCAGAAAAGCATGTCTTGTTTCTCAACGTAGCTTTAATAAACATTTAAATAGTATATACACGGATGTTAAATCACATTATAAATCTACCTGGAATCGAAGTCATCACACCTTTACGCCACGGATGTATCTGTGCACACGCACGGACAAAAATAAGTGACTTCTAACCCTTATTGATGATTATTATTGTTGAAACATTTCTTAAAGTTCGTCTTATTATTATAACATTTTTAAAATGCAGAACTCAAGGTGCCCCCCCATGTTCAAATGAGTGCTGGGTGGTGCTCATCTCCATTGGCCAGTGGTGGAAATTCGGCATTCTTAAGTGTAAATGCCATGGGTCAACTCAGCCAATCACCAGGTGAACGGTGGTAATGCTAGGAATGGACTGGCCCGTGCCATGGAAATGTGGAAATGTACACTGCTAGCCTAGCAACTGCGAATGGAGAGGAGCGCTGTTCGCCACAGTCGTTTGAGCAGGGGAGACACTTCGTGACTTTGTAAATGAGAGAACTCATAACGCATTGACCATATTCATCTTTAGACAATGTATATATTTTAAAACGTAATTTTTTTCATCATTTGTTGCAGATTTTTTTTTAGGGCGGGGGGGGGGGGCAAGCTGTTTAAATAACATTAAAAATAGCGCGATTTCTTTAGGTCCAAACGACAAAACTCTTTTATTCAATGTCCTTTACTTAACCACACTGGAGGCGGGGGCAGGGGGGCTTTTTGGTGCATCGTCTTTTGCAAGGGAGTCCTGGGACCATGCTCAGACAGCAGCCACTCTGCCCGTGCTTGTACAGTACTCGTATTTTACAAGTTAAGTGCAATTCATTTGGAATTAATATAACCAGGTTGGTAGGGCAGGAGGATTTGGTCACCTCTTGCAAAATGAGACATGGCCTGGCTGCTAATTCAAGCTGGGATACCAATATTAATACTCGGTGTTTCACATTTCAGCCGGAAACAATCCGGAACGCTATTCCAGGAATTACATTTGCCACGCCACATCCATCTCTCCCTATATTTGTTCTCATCGTTTTTTTTTTATAAACTTGTTTTTAGGATATATATAGGGTACAATCATATAGGATATTTTTATTATGGATATGTGTACCTTGTACTCTAGTGGTAGTGCCTTACGCTGATAAAATGTACTCCAAGCCAGTGTGGCAACGTTCCGGAAACATTTAGTGAGAAATTAAGCCATGGTTATACTCGTAGTTATAATGATCGTTTTGTAATGTCAATAAAAAACTCTACTTAATTTTTTTTATTTTACCAGGTAAGGTCCACTGAGCTATACAGCTCTTTTTCAGTAGCGACCTGGCCACAAATGATGGCTCAACGAAGTGGCTCACCACGTTGAATTGTATTACATCCAAATGCTCTAAACGAATGTTTCTAATTGTGGAGGGAAAAACCAGAGGACCCGGAGAAAAATTCACGCGACCACGGGGAGAACATGCAAACTCCAAATATACAGCAGGTGTCAGGGTCGGGATCGAGCCCACGACCTCCTGCATAGCAGGCGAGGTAGTTAACATCTCGCCACCGTGGTGCCCCAATTGAATTCGGGTTCGGTTTCAATGGTCTTTATCCAAGTGATCATTGATTTCTTTTACAAATTCGACATGGAGAAATGTTAATACTATACGTGTAACGCCACACCGCCTCCCCACCTCTGCGCCATTCAAAGAATTATCGCGACGATGTATTGCTCCGTCTCCTTTGTTCGGTCTTGTTTATTTGCCTAAATTGAGGGCTGCCCTGGAAAACACTTGACAATCCCCAGCGTCTCATTGTCCAGAAAGCAGGGCTTTTGTGCTGAGAGTAGGCGGACAGAGTGGATGGGAGGAGAGTGCGTTTAAGTTCATAGGCTCGGCCATCTCCGTTGAGACGATGCAAATAAAAAATGGACAAGAGGGGGCGGAAACTATCTCAACGAAGCTCGAGCATGGATTATCTTCACAATACGCATACCGGAAATGTTTTTTGTGGGTTATAATGTGGTTTTCCCCTGGACACACCTCATGCAATGTCCCCATTGGCCTAAAGCAAACATCATATAATTATAACATTATATAATTTGCATACATTATCAATTATTGATTCTTGGATGCATGACTCGGCATGTACTGTGATGATAAAATTTTATTTTGATCAATGAGTCATCAGTACATGCCTCTGTGGCACGCAGGGAGCGTATCGATATAGGAATCTGTATTCATCATAATGAATTCCTATATTTAACCAGGTGATATATATTTGAGATTAATGATTCCTTTTGGAAGGGGGGGGGGGGTGGAGACCGTGACGAATATTGGTACGCAGAGACGGTAATTACTGCTGAATATTATTTTTTTGCTAAAGGAAATTTAAAATTGCCTTCCTTGATTCAACCACGTGAGAGCCTACTTGAGGTTCGATATGCCTTTTCGAGATTTTGCAACATTTCTCGACAATTCAGAATCTGCCTCCCCTTTCATTCACACTGGCGGCTCACAGCGGCCAACTCCCGAGGCAGATACTCTGACGCGGTCGTTTGAACAGGGAGACGGGCAGCCTCATTTGCTTGACCGCTGAAAGCGAGATTAACATCTTGATGAAGAGGCTTGGCAATTTGCCCCCGTTTGTCGATAAACACAGACAACCGGTAGCGTTTATCCGCACAAATAAAACGCACGCAAAAAAATTGCAACTGGACTCTACCCGCCCCCCTCCTCTTTTAAAATGCAATTTTCATGTCGCGATTTAAACATAAAAAAATGTAGGTTTAAAAAAACCCGCCCCCCCCCCCCCCCCCACCAGTTTTTACAACAACAACAAAATTTGCAATGAGAACTCGCCGTCACAGGGTGTCTAGTCGGTCGAATTTACAGCAGTTACATACGTTTTGATTGTGACTTCAACAAATACCAGACAAGTGGTGGCCCGCGCCATATATATTTTTTACACAGAGGCTCAAGTAATGGAGTGGCTGGCCCAGCTTATAAAAAAATAAATAATTAAATAAATAGAAACACCCAGTTATAGTATAGCATTTTTTTTTTTACTTCTAACATCTTTTAAACGCTTACCATAATTATCATAGTTTAAATCTAAGACTTACGGGAATGTGTGAAGTTTAAACGTGACACGGAGTAAACGACCACACGACTGAAATTTTGGCGGAAAAAAAAGTTCTATTTTTTGCGAAAAAATAATTCACTGCCGCGAGAACTTTCACAACGAGGGTGATGCGGTGTGCCCGGGAGCCGCGGGGAGCCTGGCACCACCAAGGTCCTGGGTTTGAACCCCGGGTCCTGGATGTTTCCATCATTGTCGTGCCGGTACAGTGGTCTGGCACCACTCAGATTCTGGCGTCGAGTGCCTGGTCGTGTGAATAAATGCAACGAATATCACCGTGGTTGTGGGTTCAAGTCCGAGGTCGGTGAGTATCCATCCTCATGGTGTGAGCACTTAGGTTCGAGTCCAAGACTCTAATTCCAGATTAAACCTAAAGGTTCACGTGTTGCAAATTTGACAAACTGAATTAAATACATGAGTTTAATATAATTCCGGTTTTGTGACAATACAATGCAAGTACTGTACATAACATTTTAGAATTTGTAAAATGCCTAAATACATATTAATCGTATTTTACCCTGGCTGAGGTTATAAAACTCGCTACAGAAGACCACCTGGGTCACACCATGCCAATGAGGGGTCTGATATTCGAGCCCAGGATCTCAGTGGTGGCTCGCATTATTTCAAGACAGAAGCGTACGTTACTTTGTTGCTCTTGCAAATGTCTAAAAGCGAGCGCACAAGGTTGCCACTCGCAGACATGCGGCACCACGGTAGACGGAGCAGCCCACGGGCACGGGGCTGCCGTGCCCAGTACCAACTGCGTGCTCTCTCTCTCTCTGCTAGTGGTGACCTTTGCGCTCTCTTGACGAGTATCGATTGCAGAGGGGTTTTTTCTATAGGCTGTTTGAATGCAAAAACCGGTAAATATTTTAGAGGTGGCGGGGGAGGGGGGGGATTAGCCCAGCCCTCACCACCTTTCGCCTGTGGGTGCCGGCTCAAATCGCAACTAAAGCTACCCTCCGCTCGGGTTAGATCGCCGAGCCGGGCAGCCCCGCGGATCCCGCCGAATATGAAAAAGTCCTCGGCTCAAGCGTGCAGCCACACGAGGTGCAAAGCAGTCTGGGATTCTGATAGCTGTCGATTTGGGGTCTCCTCGATATACGTTCGCAATCGGGGAAACTTCGATCGGCAACTCTTGTGTTTCCTAAACGAATCCATTGTCTGAGTCGTGTCCGCATCTAAAATGGGAAGACTCCCAGTAGCACCATTATTAGGCTGTGCACAGCTTATTCATTGTGCAGAGGCCACGACTGGTCTATGGCCAGGTTTCCGTAAAGCGTTTTTGTTGTTGGAAAATTTGATATGAGGGAGTCACCACAAACAGTTATACGGTAGTTAGGACGTTTTTTTTGCAAAACCGTGGTCTTTGGGAAATCCTGAAACATCCTTCGCCACTTCCCTAAGAGTTCCGCTACAACAGGACATATGGTGACAAGGGGGCGGTAAGTTAACGGCAGCGGCAGTGATACACGCCTGTGAAGCAGAGGACAGTGACACTTTCCTAAAACAACCAATGCTTTTCGGCGAATCCCTCCGTCAAGCTTCACACGGCGAGAGATTGATATTTCTCCTCTGCTGCTACCATAATCCGGAACTTCCTTCCCCCAGCCATCAGAGCTGTCCTTGTGCCTTTTTTATTTCCAGGCTCAAGGCCCTGCTTTTTTGTCCATCTGCTGATGACTTGCTGCGTGTTTCTCTTTAACATCAATATACGTATTGATTATGTGCAGCATCTTGAGCTGAGGTTGTATCTAGATGCTATACAAATAACCGATTGTATTTTTATGGTTCAGGCTCACTCCTTCTTTAGTCCAATTCCTTACTCGACTGTTTGCCTGTAGGTTCACTATACTCGCATCAACTCGTGATTCATCATTCAAACAAAACCACGCTAAGATGAACGACATTGGGGATTACGAATTAAAACAATGGAAATGTTATCCGCTACTCTCTAATTCATTACTGCTATGTGCATGTCTAATTACTCTACCACTGCTGCCATCTGTACAAATTAAGAGAAAACTAACAGAGAGGTGTGATGGATGTTTCTCGAGTTCCCATTGTCCATCACATTGTGTTTGTACCGCACCATAATTTGTGGAATCATTGAGGCGTCACCTGTAGGATTCTCCATACAATTTATTTTTTGGGACTCGTTTTCTTCCTGCGGTTATATCACGTGTAGTGGAGGCAACAAAGTAAATCTGCCTCGGACTTTCCAGTCTCGGGTCTTAATGCGTGCAGGTGGATTAAAAAAAAAACTGGTATAAGCTGGCAGTGGCTTCATCACCAGTGCTATATAGAGACCTCATTGACTCAAACAGCTATAGACTTGTACAAAGTCCCATAGACTTAAATAGAGACCCACAGATTAATACACGAATCCAATGAGAAACTGAAATGCACTGCCATCGGTTTCATTATCAGTGCTAGAGACGTACTGACTCACTCACATAGCTAACACAGAGGCCCCTAGACTCACGTAGAGACCAACTGAGAAACTCAAGTGAGCTGGCATTAGCTTCATCTTCGCGAACGCAGCCTACACAGATTCCCAGGAGAACCTGGTCTGGTAAGGGCCCTGCACTTGTACAGCAGCATCATCATTGTCACCGCACGCTGCCTGTGCCTTCAAATATCAATTAGTCCACGTGCACGTATTGTCATTTGAGACTGGAAAACCCGAGATGGATGTTGTGGCCTCGATCTGGAGCAAGAGACTGCCACCGGTAGAAACTGCTGTTTCCGATAGTTGGTAGAGCCTCCCACTACCAGGCCACGGGGAACGGTGCTGAAAGAGGCACCGCAGGACCCGCTCTCATCGGTGTCTCTACAATCACACGACTTTCTTACCCCCGCACCCATCTGGCGCTCCTTCACACTGGCAAATTTAAGTTACAATTGGACTCTTTTTTTCATATACAAATAACGTACTATGTATTAATGTATAAAGTAAAATAATTATTTTTTATTAAACTATGGTTAACCGCATTTCGCCACCAGTATAGGTCACTTTATTGTTTAATCAACATTATATATATATAATAGCGGCTAAGGCCGTGTTAGAGCACTGAGCCAGCACTGCTGAACTCCTGAGTTTGAATCCAGAGGCACCGAGTACAGAATGAACTGTGCAAATCACACCAGGAAGCGAGTTGTGTTAAGCTCCGAAATCGCAAAGTGGGAAACCCCCCCGGAGCATTTGTGCAAGTCACTGCCACACAGTGGTTGCTAGAATTACGTCATAACTGCCACTCCACCAGTCAATCAGCTGCAAAGGAAAGTAAATCTTGGTGCAACGTGGTTGTCGTCGTTGCATCAAGTCCCTGTGAAACATGGGCATCGTGAAGACATCAATGCTCCTGTCTGTGGCAAGCTGTAAGTTAATCATGTTTTTTATGAGTATTTTTTTACGAATTATTTGTGCGAGTAGTGCGAGAGTGAATGCATGCAAGTGTTCGAGCGTATTACTTTGCGTTGGAATGTATTTATGTGCGTGTGAGAGATTGCATTTTATGTGTTTGTATTTATCGTCTGCAGTGTCGGCCTTTATAGGTGCTTGCTAGAAGTCGGTTAAAAGGCTATATGGGAATGTTTTTATTTATATATTTGTGACAGTATGTGTCTATGCTGTGCGTGTGTGTGTATGCGTGCGAGTGTCTGTGTCTGTTATAGTGTGTCTGTGTGAATTTGTCATAGTGTCTGTGTGCGTGCGTTTGTGAGATTGCACGCGTGTGTGGACGTGAATGGCGGAATTGAGTTTGTTCCACATCACTCGCTGGACCTCTCGTAAATGTGCTTTCCCAACTTTGTGTAAATCACGTAAGGGGGATCGGAAATGTGGCAAATTGTGGCCTACACACAACGCACAAGTGCAGGATTTGCGTAAGCGTTCGGTACTCAGGCCCCAGGTTCCGGTCACCCAATGATTCCACCAGATTTACAAGTTGTACGGCATGCGTCAGCCGAGTGACCAATGGCTCCACACCGCAACAAAAGGTGGCGTTCTACTGAATTCCGCTCATCCCAGCTGCGAGCGACACAAATTGTACGTGTGTAGTTTGGCCGACTGACATACGCAGCCCTTCTACAGAGTCCGAAGGTGCACCCGTCTAGTTTTGGACGAGAGAGGCCAAATTGAACACACCACGAGGTTTCCCTGCTCAATGAGTTCCAGAAGGAGGTGGTTTCATTTCCCTATTATTGAGATTGTATTTCAGCAGGAAGGAACCAATATTCTGTTCGGCTCCATTTCATTGGCGTCTTGCGACAAATTCCGAGCAGGCATGTAACAATTCACCCCAACAATTCATGGTCGTGGTTCGATTCGAGAATTGATAATTTTTTTGGTTTGCATAAAGCACAAAAATAATCGATTAACGCTTGCACAGGTTCGATAACATGTATCGTGACCATGGGAATCATATATTCTTTTAAAGTTGAACTCATGAATGGATTGTTACATCCCCAACGCCAACCAACTATGGAACAAAATTGCATTGCTTTGTCATTGGTCTCTTTCCCGTCATGGTTTTTTCCAAACGCATTGAAGGAAAAACGCTTTTCGGAAACCCGGCAAGCTACATACGGATGCTCTGCGGCACCGCGGACTGCAGCTCAAGGCAGGGCGGGAGTGGTGAACCAAAAACAAACAGAAAAGAACGCACAGTTGTAACGAGGAAACTATTTGTAGGAAATTGGTCCGAACGATGACTCAGGGTAATGAAGGAGGATGGAAGAGGGAGAAGGAGCGCGGGTTCGTGACGCGTACGAGTCTAAGGATACAAGAACAAGACGGCAAACTCACTCACACGGGAACGCTCACCACCGGAGAACACCGTCACTCGGGGCTTCATTTCCATCGGGGTCAGCGACCCGGACAAATATTTTCATATCCGGCAAAACCACATCCAGTGTACCTCACATAGGCCTTCGTCCAAACCGTCCCCCCCTCCCACCACCCATTAATACTCGTTTCGTCCCAAGGGCCATTCTAGTCTAACAACAACCGGGAAAATATTCAACGAGAAATGAAGCCCCTGTCGACGTTTAAAACCCTGCACAGCGGACGCGTCCAAACGCCCCCTTGTCTTGACACTTCGGTTCGGCGTCCGTTATTTTAGGGGTCGGAACGCGTTGAGATTACTTGTTAGCGCGGTCGATGGGAATGTTTTGCACGTGTGCGTAACGGAGAGAGAGAGACAATCTTCGTCTCGTTTGATCTGACATTCGGGTCTTGGGTCGAGGAACCGGGTGGTATAAGAGGGTTAAAGGGGCTGCCACCACCAACACTGCTGCTGCCACCGCTCACAGTCTCTCCCACAGAACACTCAACTCATCTCTGCCCAAACCCCGGCAAAAAATAAATTGAATTGCACGTATATAATATATCTTTTTTTTCGAGAACAATATTAAGTGCAATCACAAATTACCATTGGCGACTGATAAAAATAACCGAAGGTTTTCCCCAGGTCCAAAGATAACTATATTTGTAAAACTCTAAAACTAATTAAGGCTCAAAACCGTTCACATCAAAATGATGGCGTTGATGTTCGAAGCCATGTTGGCGTGCTATTGTAAGAGTCATGTTGGCGTGCGATTGTTATTAAGAATCACGTGGGTGTGCTATTGTTATTAAGAGCCGTGTTGGTGTGCCATTGTTATAAAGAGCCACGTGGGTGTGCTATTGTTAGCAGCCATGTTGGTCTACTATTGTTATTAAGAGCCGTGTTGGTGTGCCATTGTTATAAAGAGCCACGTGGGTGTGCTATTGTTAGCAGCCATGTTGGTCTGCTATTGTTATTAAGAGCCATGTTGGTTTGCTATTGTTAAAATCCATGTTGGTTTGCTATTGTTAAAAGCCATGTTGGTTTGCTTTTTTTAAAAGCCATGTTGGCGGTGCTAATGTTATTAATAGCCATGTTGGTGGTGCTATTGTTATTAAGAGCCATGTTGGCACACTAATGTCAAGAGCTGTGTGAGTATTGATTTCAGTTAAGGGCAAAGAAACAGAAGGTAAAAGGTAATTTTCGTCTTGCGGAATCCACACCTCAACTGGAGAGATGGGGGGGGGGGGGGTGGGAGTTTTGTGAGCGTGAACCAAACCTTCAGCTAACTTGAACAGGTCTCCAACTCCAACCGCAGTGTCCACTCAGCCGCTCTCCCTTGAATGGAGTGTGCGCAGCGGGGTTAGCAAAGTGACATAAACGTCTATGAGTGTAAACATCATATTCACTATTTTAAGATCACTTGAATAATAATCTAAACACAGACGTCACATAATAGATGTGTGCGAACGTGCACGCTTGGGTGCGCGCGTGAATATGTGTGGGTACTCTCTGCTACGTCTGTCTGTCTTGTCTGTACCCCTGTCTGTCTGTCTATAAGTTGCTCAGCGGAGGAAGTTGGGGTGTTGCTTAATGATGGGAGTGGTGCTTAAACTCTCTGTGGCAGTGCCATCGAGATGGCACCGCTGATACCCTGATTTCGAATCCCGTTCTCCCTACCTGCACGAGTTTGACGAACCACGCGTGCACAACCGTTCACTTGTGTGCGCTGTTGTTCGCTCGCCAGCTGTCTGTCGTTCCGTCGTGTGTCCAAGGCTGGCTCAGCCATTTGTTTGTCAGTCCGTCCTTCTAATCTGAGCTGTGTCTCCTCCTTAACCGTAAATCCATTTATGTAAGTCTTAGCTGACTCTCTCTTTGTCATTAGTGCTCTATCTACCATCTGTTAATCCATGCTAACCACTGATCCTAAGTGATGTATCAATCTTAGCCATCTGTTTGACTCTCCGACTTTTTAAGTCTTGGCTAACCATCAGTCTTAGCAGTCTGCCTGCTTTTTTTGGCCATAACTTTGTCCATCTTTCTTAGACCTTGCCCTCCGTTCATATGTTCTTCCTAGTGTAAACTGTTAACCCATCCGTGTGCCTATCTGTGCGTCCATCCATACTTATTAGTCCTAACCGTAGCCTTAGCTGCCGAGACATCAATTGTCGCCGTCCATCTGTCCGTTCATCTTTTTTTACTCTTTGCCAACTATTCACGACTCATCCCTCCCTTGGCCTTCCAACCACATTTTTTAGTATCTGCCAACTATCTGTCAGCTGTGCATCCATCCACCCTTTGTAATCTTAACCATCTATATGTTTAAGCCGTCTATCCATCCATATGTCCGTCTGTCCATCTGTCTGTGTGTCAGTCATCTGTCCTACCATACATTAAGCCGGTCACCCACACACACCCTCTTATCCTGGCCCTATCTACCCGAGCTCCGTCTCATCCGTCTCTGCGTGCAGGGGCTCAGGAATTGTAGGTAGCCTGCGAGGGGGCCCCCCGGTAGCCGGACTGGGCGAGCAGCAGGCCTGAGGCCGAGGCCCGGCCTTGAAGAGGCCCTTGGTGTGGCCCGGCCTCGGGTGGGGACGCGGTTTCATGAGGCCTCCCTGGGACCTTGCGACCCCGGGAGGCCTGCAGAGGCTCACGTTGGCGTTGGCCTGGGGGTTGGACACGGGGTTGGAGTGTGGGTTCGGGGCTGCACTGGGGTTAGTAAATGCAGTGCTTGGGCAGCTCAGATTGGCACCGGGGTTACAGTGGGTGTTAGAATTTGGGTGAAGCCTTCCCGGGTTAGTGCTGACATTGGGTCGGTATGCTTTTGGGTTGGCATTAGGGTTGGGGTCGAACCGCGTGTGCCCGGGCTCGGTGCCCTCCGATGGGTACGGGGTGCCCGAGTCGGCGTCAATGCCGGGGTCAGGGCCAGGGTAAGGACCGGGCCTGAGGACTGGCCGGGTGGCACCAAGGCTGTTGTCGGGGGACTTGGCGGTCGTCCCCGCATCGGGGCCGGCACAGCAGGGCGCGGTGCAGGGCGGTAGTGGTGCACCTCGCTCATAGCGTATGCCGCTGCCGCCACCGCCGCCACCACCAAAATCGGCTTCGTCATAATCGATGTCGCGACTGAACGGCACCGTGAACTCTGTCTCGGCGCAGCCCCGGCCGGTGCCCGGAGGCGGCCGTGGATGCTTGGCCTCGTAGGCTGAGGCCTTCATCCCCCCACCTTGATCCCCGGCTTGACTTGACGACGACGACGAAGATAACGATGACGGAGGAGAAGACACGGGCTGCTTAGTGGAGGATTTTGACGTTGCCAGGGGCTGCCCGACAGACAACGGTGCCTGCTTGGATGTTTTAAAATCTTTGAGCGAGAGGCTCTCCGGAGGCTTGCCCGCCGAGGCCGACGAGATGGACGAAGACGAGGAGGACGAGGACGAAGAGGAGGACGACGCTGAGGACGATGCCGATGATGACGACGAAGAGAAGGCCCCCAGGCTCTTGCCAAAGGTGGAGAACGGGCCCCGTGATTGGGCCAACGGCACTCGCTCGACGCCGGACTTTTCTGCCGGCTCCTCTGGCGCGCGGGTTCGTACACCCACGGTCTTGGGAACCTCAGGCTGCGGCTGCTGCGACTGCTGCTGCTGCTGCTGCTGGTGAAGGTGGTGGTGGTGTTGGTCGGGCGGCTGGTGGCTGTGCTGTTGTTGCTGCTGTTGCTGCTGTTGCTGCTGTTGCTGCTGCTGCTGCCGGTGGTGGAGGTGGTGTTGGTGGTGAAGGTGGTGATGGAGGTGCTCGTCGTGGGGCATCCAGCACGAGTCCGAGTGGCCCATGACCCGGCACTCATCCGTGCAGCGGACACCGACTTTTTCTGCGTGGTGCGGGGTTGGGAGTGGTGGGGGGTGGAGGTGGGGGGAGGCAGCAGCTTCAGGATTTGATACAGGGATTGGGGTGAGCGCTCAGGGTTCGTGTCCTGTGTGTGTTCTGTATGTTGCACGTGTCCCCTGTGTCTCGTGTGTAATGTGTGTGCCCCACCACCTGTGTGTCCCTCGTGTGGCCCTGGTGTGTCTCCCGTGTGGCTCCCATGTATGGCCCCCTGTCTGTCCCCCTGTGTGTCTCCGTGTGTGTCTCCGTGCGTGCCTCCGTGTGTACCGTGCGTCCCGTGTGGCCCGTGTGTGCAGGGCGGGCCGTGCGTGGGGCCGTGCGTGGGGCCGTCGGCTTCGCTGAGCGACCCTCGCGCCGTGTCCGCGTCGCTGTCCGCGCCCGTGTCGCTGTCCCCGTGTCCGCTGTCCTTGAAGCTCAGCCTGTCTGCCTCGCTGTACACATCATCATTATCACCATCACGATCATCACTACCATCACCAGTCCCGTCAACATCGAAGGCATAATCAACATTACCAAGGTCAGTGCATGTCCGCCCTGATGTACAAATAATCACCATCGCCGACACCATCGTCATCAACAACAACAGCCATTCGCCACTAAGTGGCGGTGACGTCACCATGGCAGTTGTGCCAGACCATGTGCACTTTGAGACCACGTGAATTGTTGAAGGCTCATTAGCAGGAGGTCACGGGACACACCCAGGTGCCATGGGTTGACTGACTGAGATGACTGGCAGATACACTATCTGTGCCCCCTACTTTGCCAACTTGCTGTGTTTTAGCTGCCCGGCACTCCTCTCGTTGTGAGCACTGCTCTCTGCCCTTCGCTGTTGTTGGAGGGCAACTGGGAGGAGGATTGGGAGAGGGGGCTACTGGCCCTCCCTCATTTTTTTTGTCTTTTTCTATTTTTATTTTCCTTGAGTTCATTTTTTTCCTAATCATAATTTCAGGACACGACAACGCTCGTTAAAGATGCTCCAATATGACCAAAACTTTAGCACACCATTTCGTTACTATTGCGTTCCTATTGGGGATGATTAAAACTGGCCACATTGACCAAAGCGTTGGCAAAAACCACGCTTGGTGATCGCGCACCGCCTCTCCACGGTGCAGAGCGCCGTCACCATCGCCGTGCCGGAGGGCATCGCCGTGCCGGAGGGCGGCGCCGTGGCCGAGACGGAGCAGCCACGAGGAGCTGCTGCGGCGCCAGGAGATCTAACTTCAACCTCACCCACGCACAGGTGCCCCCACCCCCTCCTCTACCCTCCCTTTTTCCTTCCCTCCCCCCCCTTTCTCCCTCCCGTGCGTACCTGTGTGCACAGTGCGTACCTGCGTGGAGGATTTCGGGCCCCCAAAGCCCCTGGGTCCAGGTACTTGTGAGTCCTCTGAAATAAATCGTAACATGTGACCAGTCAGTTACTCAACAGAGTCTAGGGCAGTTTAACACGTAGTCTAGGGCCCAATCAGGTGATTTAAGTTCATAAGCTAATGAGAGTCTTTGGTGACTGAAATGTTGTTACCTGTCTATGAGCTGATACACGTGTGCTGGGTTATGGCAATTATGCGAAATCTTAACTAGGGAAGATCCATCTCAGTTGGATGAACAGTTGAATGCACCTCATGGGACCTCCTTTGCGAGTACCAAAATATGAGAATAGGTTTCCCCATTTTTTCTGGCAACAAAACAGGTGTTAAGATGTTAAAACACCAAACTGAAACCTTTTACAAGGAATAATGTCTGCATTAACCACAATACTTGTGGTCAGAATGCAAACAAAAAACATACTCCAAAAGGCGTCCTCTGGTCTAACAACGTTTTGAGACGAGGCTCAAAAGAAAGCTGTCTCTGGTGTGGACCAATCAGGTTCAAAGACAATGCATATATTATCAGAGTATGTTTTTGTTTGCATTCTGACCACAAGTATTGTGGTTAATGTAGACATGATTCCTTGTAAAAGGTTTCAGTTTGGTGTTTTAACATCTTAACACCTGTTTTGTTGCCAGAAAAAAGGGGAAAACCTCTTCTCGGTTTAGTGCACTATTATGAGAAATAAATCAAATCGTTCAGGTTATTTAGTTTGGGGCCTAACTAGGTGATTTTAAATTATTCAGATGCTGGGGCCTTTCTCACCTGGTCCCCATGGGTGGGAGAATTAAAGCTCTTCCCAGCATCTTTAATTAAACTTCAATTAGCGCGGAGCGCTGCAGCTCGTTAGGGCAATTATGACGCACGCGGCAGTGTACGATCTGTTTTTGCTCGACCAGTGAAACACACACGCACTCTGCTTGCACCATCACTGCTAACACACGCACACAGCCACACGAATACTGCTCACACAATCACTGCTAACACACAAAACCACACGCATACTGCTCACACAATCACTGCTAACACACAAAACCACACGCATACTGCTCACACAATCACTGCTAACACACACACACGGACACACTGCTCGCACAATCACTGCTAACACACAAAACCACACGCATACTGCTCACACAATCACTGCTAACACACACACACGGACACACTGCTCACACAATCACTGCTAGCACACAGCCACACGCATACTGCTCACACAATCACTGCTAACACAACAACAACCGCCATTCGCCACTAAATGGCGGTGACATCACCACGACGCTTGTGCCAAGCTATGTGCACATTGAGGCCACGTGAAGTGTCGAACACCCGCTGGCAGGAGGTCACGGGGCAGACCCAGGTACCACGGGTCGACTGATTGAGATGACTGGCTGATGCACCACCTGTGCCCTCTACTGTGCCAACTTGCTATGCTTTAGCCACCCGGCACTCAGCTCGTTGTTGTGAGCGTCGCTCCTCCGCCCTCCGTTGTTGTTGGAGGGAGACTGCCTCCAACTGCCCAGTAGCGTCCTTCACGAGCCTCCTCCACAGAGGCCGATCTTGACACCTCTGGTACCAGTCATTGGCAAGTCCACTCAGCTCTACATCCTCCTGTACCACATCACTCCATTACTTCTCTAGCCCGTGCCGCGCCCGTTTAGCCCTCTCGATCCAGCCGAACAAAAGCTGTTTTGGAATGCAGTGGCTGGGCATGCGGGCTACATGGCCCAGCCATTGCAGCCTTGCCTGCCGGAGGAGCTCACCGATGGGACTTTGTCCAGATCTTTCAAGGATTTGTGAGCTCCTCACACAATCCAGCCTGGTTAACCTAGGATGGATCGTAGGCAGGCCAGCCTAAATGTTTCTAACCGGTGAAGATGTTCCATTAGGGGGGTCCACGTTTCGCAAGCGTAGAGAAGGGAGGGAATGACTGACCGAGAAAACCTGAAGCTTCGTGAGGAGCGACAGACCAGGTAGCTTCAACACAGCGTTACGCAACCGATCAAAAGATAATGCCGCTCGACTGATTCTGAGTGAGACCTCTGCTGTCAAACCGGAGCCGGTCATGATCACACTGCCCAGGTATGAGAAACTCTCCACTCTCTCCACGACTGCTAACGCACACACAACGACACTCACACAACTCACACCATCACTGCTCAGACACAGCCATACCCACCCTGCTCACACCACCACTGCTAACACATTCACCCAGCTGCATATGTGCACACAATAAAGTGAAAGATCCCCTGTAATAGCCTTTAAGCAGACTTTTGGGGCAAGGGCTGTTCGCGAGCGCCCATTAAGGCTGGCACAGCACACAAGGAGGCTGGTGTGGTCAGAACCACGCCCGACTACCGTTGTCTCCCCAGTGCTGATGTTTACACGCTGCACCAGGTGCATAACTCATTTATGGCTCAATCGACCTCGGGGAAGCTCGTGACCGACGAGGATGAGGAGGAGGTGGATCTATCCGGTGGGTGTTGAGAAGGTGTACGAGAAAGTGGATGAGCAGCGGAGGCTGAGGAGGAGATGGAGGAGGTGTGAGATGTGCACGAGGAACTCGAGCTGTCGCAGGAGGAGCAGGAGAACGAGGAGAACGATGAGCAAGATGAAGGTGGAGGAGGAGGATGTAGAGGATGTGCATGAGGAGGGAGTCCAGGAGGAGGGAGGAGGAGGAGATGCAGGAGGCGGTGCCGTTACTCTGACAACGAATTAAGCATCGGGAAACGTGAATTAATCTTCGCCACTGGACCACACCGCTTCAGCACCGGCGATAAATCTTGCTGCTGGGAGGGAAATTTGCGCATTACGAAGCGAGCGGCAAGTAAACGGCAATTACCGCGCGGCAACGCGGCGCTGCGACGACTCGCGCTGTGGGACTACGGTTAAGTGGTTCTCCATAAGGTAGTAAACTAATAATGATAAAAATAATACAGAAATTATTTTTCGAAAACAAACAAAAGTAGGTAAGGACAATTAGACTAATTAATCACCAAAAGTCAACAATATTGTAATGAACGCATGGTTTTTCCAAATGTATTTATTTTAGCCCAATACGTGAATCAATTAAATTGTCGTGATCACTAATCGGCCATGATCGATCCACTGCTGAAGGCCCCCCCCCTTCCCAAGTTGTTTTGTTGTTGTTTAATCAGCTGGTGAGAACTCAAGAGGTCAGGATAAGCCCGTCTCATTTGCAAGAGTGACCTGGATTGCCAACATAACAAAGAGCAAGACAAAATAAAATGAAGCACAGCAAGGGAACGAAAAGAAATTAGAGCAAAAACAACGGCGTCACAAGAGGATTTGAAAACAGTGCACAGACATAAATCAGTGTTAAGTAAAAACATACATTTCCTGTCACGAAAGTTGGCTTGGACAAATAAAATTTCCGCTTGGAAAAATGGCTTTCCTCATATCTCCGGGATTCGGACAGAGCGTTTTATAGCAGAGTTCATCGGCTAGAGTTTTTGAACTCAAACAAAGGCTTCAAAGACGCTACCAAGTTTAAGCTCGTTCAGGAAAACTAAGAAAGTATGAAACCCCCAAATCCTACGATTACAGCAATCCGAACGCAGCCAATCTGATCAGATCTCAGAAGCTAAGGCAGCTGTGAGGCTACTTAGTACCCGGATGGTGGAGTGACAAGAGGCTTGCCAGGTGTTGTAGGCGTGGGGCTGTAAGGTGGCCGGGAATTTTGCAGCACAGAAATGGATTCCTATCTTCTTCTTTCCTGTATAGCGAATTGACATTTGCAACGCTGTGTGTGGATATCGAAGTTATTGAGCCGCTCAGTAGTCTCTGGAAGCTTGGTGGATCTCGGTGATATTGTCCGGGATTCGCCAGCGTGGGCAGTGTTGAGTGATCTGATCCATGATGTGTGAGTCGTCCATGTCGTGAGCATTGCTGGATCATGTGATCCATAGTCTGTGAATCGCCGGTGTCGTGAGCATTGCTGGATCATGTGATCCATGATCTGTGGATCGGTGTCGTAGGTAGTGTTAGATCATGTGATCCATGGTCTTATAATGTATAAGACCATGGATAACATCTATCTAGACTTGATCACGTATGGTTAGTGCGGGTTGGTGAAAATGGACACCCAGGACCGGTTCAGATACCGCTCACTAGTGATGTTAACCTTGGGCAGGAATTGAAATCAGGTTGTTGAGTTTATAATGCAATGTGCTAACCACTGCGCCACCGCTCCACGGGCTACAAAAGCCACTTTCTTATGTTGTGAGTCGCTGTTTCCATAATGTAAGACAACCTTAGGATAGTTTTGTTCAGTGTCTCTGACACAGCTATTATGAACAAGGGTTTGAATCGAGGACCTCAGCAACGCTGGACAGTGTCTCTGAAACGTCCATTATTATGAGATCCCTTTGAGATTCTGACGCCCAGACCGAGGTCTCGAACCCAGGATCTCACGCAGTGCTGATCATTGTCTCTGACACGGCCGTTATGAACTCCCCGGCACGCCCAGCCTCTCCTGTTATGGGAACGTCTTAATGTGCCTCTGATGTGGACGGGTCTGTCTTCCGCTATTTACCAGGTGATTCATTATTAAACGCTAAGCTGCCACGAGGCCACTTTACTCCCAGTTCATCAATAGCGCTTATCGCCCCTCCGTCTCCGAGGCTGAGAGGACTTGTTTTGTCTCTGAAAAATTCACGAGCAACAACTTTGTCGCCAACAATGGATATGTTTAACACACACAAACGCACGATACCCATACAGAGTTGCATACCCATATATACCCACACAAGGAAAAAGATCCCCCGCATATCCTCAACAGGCTGTTCAGGCAAGTGTTGTTGGCACCTATGTCAGCCGACACGGTGCACGATGTAGTGGTGTGGCCAGAAACACGCCCAGCCGTCTTTGTCTTCCCGGTGCTGATGCGATGCTTACACACCACACCAGGTACTCGTACCAACATCCATACAAATACACAACAGGTCCTCACACACGTTCACACAAACGCACACACACGTGTCGTGAGGTTAACTCAATATTAAATGGGCACATGGTGCGGTTACATGACCCCTGTACTTCCCAGATCCCGATTCTCCAGGGTTCTACCATTGGCTGCCCAAAGGCCCACAAAGTCTCTGGGAATTGCCTGTGCTAGAGGTATGGCTCAATTAGATGTAAAGAGGTACAGCTTGGTGAGATGAAAACGACATCAATTAGAGAGATGAGTGGACTAGAGAAGAGAGGGACTGATCGATCGTCTAACGTGTACAGACCCTATGATGTCATGCCGCTCTGTGATGTCATAACATTACGTCATGTAGCCCACCAGCACAAACATTGGAACGTTGGTCCAACGTTGGTTCCAACCGTTTCAACCATATGCCACTGTTGGCCAAATGTTGCATGATTACTTGGTTGCTATATTCCATGCAACCTTGTACCACCTCGACGCCTGTACCATCCCATAGGCTTGCGCCATTTGCCCCCCCATGTGTGTGTTTATGTGAATGAGTGTATGGTTGTGGGTTTTGTGTTTGTTTCTGCCGGTGTGGGTAGCAGTGGCGCAGTGGTTAGCACAGCGCACTGCGACCCGAGTTCGATTTCCACTCACAGCCAACATGGTGACGAATATGTGAACCGGTCGTGGGTGGACCTCGCCTAGGTCGACTCAGCCTTAAATAAGTACCTGTTGCCGTGTGTACACATCAGCATTGGGGAGACAAAGGCGGCCAGGCGTAGTGCTGGCCACCCACCCGCCTCGTATGCCATGCCGCTAACTGCACTTGCCACAACAGTCTGTTACAGGCTAAACGACGAGGATCTTTGTCTTTGCTTATGCCGGTACCGCTTGCTCAGGTCCCACAGGCAGGAGGTCCGGCTGGCGGCTCCCGCACGCGGCGCCGTCGGTGCGGACGGCGTAGACGGAGGCCCTGCGCTCGCCCGCGCCTGGCCCCCCCGTGCCTCCGCCGGCGCCTCCTCCTCCGCCGCCACCGCCGCCGCCACCGCCCTCCTCCTCCACGTCCTTGCACGGGACGGTGGCCTCGTCCGCCTGCCGCGTCATGGTCAGCTCCGACGGGAGCAGTGAGCGGTACACGCTGGGCTCTGCGTGCACGCGCGGCACCGCTGTGGTCAGCGCCGCTAAACGTTCGGATCGTCGCCGTCGTGTCCTCGCATCGTCGGCGTCGCGTCGTCGACATCGTAAGCATTGTCGGCGTCATGCACGTCATCTGCACTAGCAGCAGCAGCATCATCATCGTCAGTGTTGTCTACGTCGTCGCGTCATCCATATCGTCCGCATCATCGGAATGGTTCACATCATCAACTTCTTTCACATCGTCGGCATCTCGCAAGCCCGAATCTGATGAAAAGACACGGCATGTCGAATGCGTTACAGAGTTTTCTCGTGTTAAACTAATGCTCCATGTGGCCAATGGGATGTGTAAATTTTACTTTTCTTTTGAGAGTGCTTCATAGTATTATTACCTATACGCGCATTTTCAACGATACTTAATTATAATTATATCAATTTCCATCTGTGTTTTTCTCCTCAAACCTGAATCCTAACTGAAATCAAGAACACAGATAGGTATTGGTGATGAAAGAACAGAGCCCGAGGTGCATCTAAAGAGATGAAGGAGAGACGCGCAAACACGTATCATATGCTACGTCAAAGATCCAGTCTCAGAACTAAGCCAAGTGATGTGAAGTGCTGGCAAGCACTCGCTGGAGCAGATAAATTAAGTAAATTCGATAATATCTTGAAATATACATCACACACGAAAGACATTCCGGGCATCTTCTATACCAGGAATTGGCGTGCGACGCCAACTCGCGAATTACAAACCGTTGGCTCAACAAGCAAGATTTTCTAAACGGTGACCCTCGTTTTGAAGGCCAAAAACAGCGGGACTAGCACACGTGTCTGCAAGTGAAGAGTCCTCGGGGCGTGGTTACACTCCGTTCGCTCTCGATTACTCGGGCGACAATATGGTGGAGGCGGCGCTGAGTATGATCAACCACACAGCCCCCCCCCCAGCAGGATCAAACAAAGAGGGCCCTCGAAGAGGCCACCAGTGGCAGCGCGCGTGACGAATGTCTCCGCTCCGCCTGGGTCCGCTGGCATAGAGCGGCGGCTCCCGTGACCTCTCTGGGTATGATCAACCACACCGCCCCCCCCGGCAGGGTCACACAAAGAGGGCCTCGAAGTGGCCACCAGTGGCAGCGCGCGTGACGAATGTCTCTGCTCCGCCTGGGTCCGCTGGCCAACAGCGGCGGCTGCCGTGACCTCTCTGGACCGGCGCGCCACCGCCGTTGACCCTCGAACATTTTTCACTGAGCACCGTGCACCACCAACAATTCCTCCCCCCCCCCTTGAATTAAAACTGTTCTTGACAACAACAAAAAACCCGCGGTGAAATGTTAATCAAATATGCATGTTAATAAATGCAAACACACACGGACATTCAGATGTGATTTCGCAACATATCGTTTTTACCTTCAAAGAATGAGGGCGAAGACATGTAATGCGTTCGTCTTGTTCGCTGCTTCTTAAAATAATCGGTTTACTTACGGTCGTGTTTGCTGTCACATGGGCACTGACCCGTGACGAATGAGCGGCAGCTAATAATTAAACCAGGGTGCGTGTAATTACAATTCATGTATTTATTACGAAAGGTGTCATGGGTTGGAGAGGACTTCATCCAGCAGTGGATGGGTCATGGACGATAATGATGATGACAGATACTTGGAGGTGGTCATGAAATGACTGCCTTGTGGTCAACCATTTATTGCTTGCTGTTGACCTGGTAATTGCTGCCCATTATGAAAAGCAGTTGGAGACTCTGTTGTTGAACCAGGAGCTAGGGGGCCTTACCATCAGTTCCACCAAAACAAAGCTCCCTCACCTCTCCAGGTGTAATGCCACAGTTGTGGTAATGATGATAATGATATCTAGAACCCGGCTCATGGACTACACCCCCACTCCCCGCGCCGCTGCGTCTGCACGTTCACCCACCTCGTCCCAGGGGTGGCGTGACGGGCTTCTCACATGCCCCCACGTCCCTCTCCCGCTCGCGCCTCCGCTCGCGCTCCCGCCTTCGCTCGCGCCTCCTCTCGCGCTTGCTGTGTCCGTCCGCGGGCGGCCGCGCCTTGTGGTGCTTGCAGCGCAGCGCGATGGCCACCATCGCCATGAGCAGCGCGAACGACACCGCGCCCAGCGCCGCGATGATCACAAACGACGTGGCGAAGGCCCTCCCCCCGTCGTCGTCGCCGGTGCCGCCCCGACCCCCGGCGCCGCCGCCGCCAACGCCACCGACGCCGACGCCGCCGCTGTCTTCATAAATCCGGTGGTCGCCCTCTCCGCCGGCGTCGCCTGCTCCAGCGTCAGGCCCTGCCTCGGGGTCGGACACGAGCACGGTGACGGTGGCCGTGGACGTCACCGCGGGCGCCGAGGAGTCGGAGACGGCGGCGGCAGAGGCTGAGGCAGCGTCACAGCCGGCGCCGCAGTCGGTGGCTGTGACGAGGAGGCGGAACCGCGCCGCGCGGCGCGGGAGGTCGCGCGCCGCCCTCACGTCGCCCAGGCGAGGGTCCACGCGGAACCAGCGCGCCTCGTTCCCCGCCGCGATGGCGTAGCGCAGCCCCGAGCTGGTGCCCACGACGTCGGCGGCGCCCCCCTCGCCTCCGCCGGGCCCTGCCCCGGCGACGCTTTCGTCGACGCCATCAACGTCGTCGAAGCCGTCGGGATCGCGGGCACGCAGGCGCAGGACGAGCGAGCCTGCGGGCAGCCCCGCCCGCGCGCTCACCACGGCGCTGCGGTTGGCGCCCATATCGGGCGACAAAAACTCGGGCGCCGCGCGGTCGCCGCCGTCGTCGACGGCGCCATCGCCCACCACGAGGACGGTGACGGCGGCGGTGGCCGAGAGCCGCGGGTGGCCCCCGTCGCTCGCCGCCACGCCGAACAGCAGCCGGTGGCGGCGGCCGCGGTCGAAGCTGCGCAGCGCGTACACCGCGCCGCTCGCCGGGTTTACGGACACGTAGGTGAAGGCCGGCATGCCGTCCAGCGTGGCCTCCACCAGCGAGTAGGAGACGGCCGCGTTGGCGCCCTCGTCGGGGTCACTGGCGCTCACCGAGCCCAGGTAGGCGCCGGGGATGTTGTTCTCGCCGACGCGGAACACGTAAGAGGGGCGCGAGAAGCGCGGGGCGTTGTCGTTGACGTCGGCGAGGCGCACCGAAAAGGTCGCGCTGGATGACAACGGCGGGTCGCCGCCGTCCGTCGCCACCACCGTGAGGTTGATGAGCGCCGGCGTGTGCAGCGGCGGCTGCTGCTGCTGCTGCAGCTGCTGCTGGTGGTGCTGGTGGTGGTGGTACGGTCCACCGGTGCCGGCACCGGTGGCGGCAGCGGCGGAGCCGGTGGCGAGGCCTACGAGGCTCTCGCGGTCAAGCGGCCCAGAGGTGACCAGCGTCCAGTCGTCGCCTGACGGGCGCAGCTCAAACGGGAGCCGCATCGGCATCGTCGCCGCCGTCATGACCGTCGTTGGCGATGACGAAGAGGAGGAGGAGGAGAGTGGGGGGGCGGTGTCGGCGAGGGTGCACGTCACCTGCCCGTTGGGGCCCGAGTCGCGGTCGGTGGCGCGGATGAGCGCGAGCAGCGTGCCGGGCGGCGCCCCCTCCGACACCGAAACCGGCTCCCCTGGGCCCGTGCTGCGAGCCAGAGGCATGATCTGTGGAGGGGAGGGGTCAAAGCCAAGGTCAAAAGGTCATCACAAGGCTGTTGATGCTACCACATCCCGACACCGCTTCCTTTCTTGCTTCCGCGCAGTCGACACTTGACCTAGAGGGTCCGATCTTACATTTCCTCGTCATTGCTGTGGTCAATCCACTCCTGATTGAGGGCCTCCCCGAGCTGTTTGAAGGCCTCCTAAAGCCTAATTGAGCAGCTGCTGCGGTGCGACACTGGGGGAGGGAAAAGGTGCCTGGGCACTGTGTCGACCACATCACCCGCTGGAGCGCTGTGTTGGCCGTCATAGGTTGCTCCCTAACAGCACTTTCCCCAACAGTCTGCCTACGGAGGATCTTTATCTTCGTTACGTATCTCGCCGTATGAGTGTGAATGCGCGTGCTGTGTGTATATAAGTCGACTGAGCCCCAAATGAGTACTCGGTTGAGTTGTGTAAACATCGCCACTCGGGAGACAAAGGCGACGAGGCGTGGTGCTGGCTAGACACCCCCTTGTGTGCTGTGCAGGCCTTCATTAGTGCTCGCTCATAGCACTGCTCCAAAAGTTTGTTGAGGCTATACGGGGTGGGGGGGGGGGGTCTTTATCTTTGTGTATATAATACATGTGTTGAGTTTGTGTGCATATATCGACGTTTGTGTGTCTTTATGTAGATAACGTGTATGTATGTTGTGCTGTGAGCATGTCAAATCTTACTTCAGTTCAATTATAATGGGCTTGCACAGATGCTGATGGAGCAGCCACTAGGGACTTGAGTGTTGGTGTTTGTGCCAATCGAAATGAAATCTGAGAACCCTAGATTGATACAACAGTGGAGCGGTGTTGCGGTGGCTCTCGCATTGCGCTATGAACCCAGCAACCGGAGTTCGATTCCTGGCCACAGATAACATCAGTGGTGAGTGGTATCTGAACTGGTCCTGGGTCCCCCCCCTTCACCAACCTGCACTGGCCAGCGTGGTGAAGTATGGTCAAACAACCCCTATGACTGACGTGGCATGGGGAAGCATTTATATAGCTATGGATTGTCAAAGAGTTGTACACAGAGGGCCATATACAGCAACATAACCACCACTAGCTGTTGATGATGATGCTGCTGGTAACAATATCGATGAGTATTGATGATGCTGCTACTGCTTATTGATGATCGTGCCGGTGCGTATTGATGATGACGATGTCGGTGGTGTTGCGGGTGATGATGATGTTGGTGAGTGATACCGGTAACGATGTCGATACATGGTGATGCCGCTGCTGCTGCCTGTTGTTGGTGACGATGCCGGTGTGTGTTGATGTTGATGATGATGATGCTGCTGTTGTTGGGGCTAACAATGCCGGTGTGTGTTGATGTTGATGATGATGCTAGTGTTGTTGGTGACAATGCTGGTGCGTGTTGATGATGATGATGCTGCTGCTGCTGCTGGTGACAATGCCGGTGCGTGTTGGCCGTGACGATGACGTCGGTGCGTGCGCCGCTCGCCTCGATGCTGGGCGCGTTGTCATTTACGTCGAGCACCCGGACGAGGACGCGAGCGTGGGCAGGGACGCTGTGCACGCCCAGGTCCCGCGCCTGCACCGAGAACTCGTACGACGTCGCCGTCTCGTAGTCCAGAGGAGCTGCACAACCATCGGCATCGTCAGCAGCAGCAGCAGCACCAGGAAGATCAGCATCGATAGCAAGGTCAGCATCATCATTATCATGAGCAAGGTCAGCAGCAAAGTCAGAAGCAGCGGCAAGGTCAGCATCATCAGCAGCAGCAAGGTCAGCATCATCAGCGAGGTCGGCATCATCAGCGAGGTTAGCATCATCAGCGAGGTCAGCATCAGCATCGGTAGCAATGTCAGCATTATCATGAGCAAGGTCAGCAGCAAGATCAATTTGAATATAAATAACAATGATCACCCCCGACTGTGAAAATGTTGGCAAGACCCTCCTGACAAAGGAGTCATGCGACACAATGGGGCTTTCTTGGGTAAACAAGCGGAAAAAAACCCATCAGCAGCAGCGGCAGCAGCGAACGCAGCAACGGCAAACTAAGCTTCAGCTCCACCATTAGCAGCACCGACATCAGCGGCATTATCAATCATAATCATCATCCATGTGTGATTAAAATAAGTTTGACGTTCTCATTCTGGTCACTTACAGAACTTAATATCAGCCGGGTGTGTCCGGGTCAGCGGCTCAGAAAATAATTTTCCGCACCGGCACACCACATCGTGTATACCTCTCGCTACGGCTGTGGGTATTCGTCACGTGCCTGCTGCAGTCTGCTCGCGACCCAGAATATATCGATTGAGGAATGAAGCCAGAGTTTGTTATTATTCAAATGATTTACATCACAATTGATTGAACGAAATCAAAATTGTCACCGAATTTGCCATAAATTCCAGAGAAATATTTTGTTTTGATTGATATGCAACGAGAATTGTTTACAAGCCAAAATAAATGTGTGCCCCGAGTGTGTATGAAGGAGTCTCATGACTTTAAAAAGTACTTGTGCTATGTCCTCTTCCGAGACTCTACACTGACGCAGAGGGCGGTGCACCACTTGCTGTCAGAGTTTATGAATAGATGTGTCCTTGTCTTCATTCATGTTGCTGGTAGAATATAAATGGAATATAGATTGGGGGGGAGAGAGCAAAAGCATACCCATGGCCTGATAACTTGGGGTCAGAGCTTGGGGTCATGACCTTACGCAGTTGGTATTAGGAGTTAACGTTGGGTGTTGACCTCCTAGGGTTCCTAGTAGATAAGCAGACAATGTCTTCTTCAAATACTGGTCTATACAAATAACACAATAAAGGAGTTTCACACAACCCATCGGCCCAATGGCCTTCTGAAAGTGAATAATTTCAGGAGCATTGATTCACCACAAGCAAATTCTGGACCAGTTTCGACATACAGTCAGTATTGGTGAATGGCCACATATTTAAGGCAAGGACCATCCCTTTAAGATAACGGGTCCTAGTTTGATGCCAAATGATATAAAGTAATCATACATAATTCAAAATAAACATCAAAATACGTAAAAATTAGATCCCAGGTTTCCTGTTAGGGTCAAAATTTGGTTTGCGACTTTATGTGGAAATCATTGGATCAAGGTCAGTGTTAGGGTCAGACTTGGGCTCATGACCTTGTAGGTTCAGGGTTTATGATTTCAGGGTGAGCATCGGGATGACCTCAAAGGGTCAGTGTTGGTTCATGACCTTGTAAGATCAACAATAGGTTCAGCATTCGTGACCACACAGATTTAGTCGTGGGGGTCGTGACCCTGTAGAGCCAGCATGGGGGGGGGGGGAGAGGCGGCAATCAGGGTTGGGGTCATGACCTCGCAAGGTGACGTGGCCGCTCGTGGGGTCGACAGCGAAGAGGTGGCGGATATCGTCGGAGACGTGGTCGCCCAGCGAGTAGCGAACCTCCCCGTTAGCACCCTCGTCGGGGTCACGTGCACGCAGCACAACGAGGGGGCCTCCTCGTGGCCAGCCCTGCGCCACCGCATGCACATCAACCAATAGTCACCGGCCATCACCCACCATCACCGTAATCTGCGATCGCCCCACCATCAGCATTGTTCGCCATCGCCTGCTATTGCCGACCGACAACGTCGCTCTCCAGGGTCTGCCATCACCTTCACTCGCAAAAGCTCTCGCCCAAGCTATCACTGTCCACCATCATCACCCGCCAGCACCCATCATCTTTATTAAACATTAACAATACCTCCTATTACTCACCATCATCATTATCCACTATCATCACCACCATTAGTTATCGCCCACCATCACCCTCAGGCTTTGCCATCATCATCGTCATCGTCATTCCTGTGATTACCACCGTCGGGGCTGTCTCACCTGTCCAGCCGGGCCGCCCTCGCGCACGCGCGCCAGGTACTCGCTGCGCTCGAATCGTGGGACGTGGTCGTTGACGTCGGTGACGGTGACGGTGACGCGCGCCGCCCCCCACCGCGGGGGGCTGCCCCCGTCCCACGCGCGCAGCACGAACGAGTGGCGCGCGCGCGTCTCTCGGTCCAGGGCTCGCGCCAGCACCAGCTCGGGCGACTGAGGGGTTCCTCCGCCTCCTCCACCGCCCCCACCAACGCCGTTGATGCCACCGGGCCCGCCACCACCACCACCAGCAGCGGCGGCGGCAGCACCGCCAGAGCCAGCGCTACCACCGGTACCGGCGGTGCTGCCCCAGAGCCACACCACCAGGCCGTTGCTCACCACACCTGTGCACGGCGAGGGGCGCGTCACTGAGTTCAAGTTCATTGCAGTTCCCAGGAAATATGCCACGTTGAAAACACTTGATAAATGTGCTAAGCATTTGTCCAAAAAAATCTAATTCGTGGTGGAATTTTACGTACAGCTGCATTGAAGAGGACTTCAACCAGCAGCGGGTATTTCATGGCCGGTGATGATTGTGGCGATGGTGATAATGTGTGGGACCGACCTCCAGCCTCGAGACGCAGGACGAACGCGTCGTCTCTCTCTCCGTCGACGCCGCCGCCGCCGTCTCCGTCTGGCACCAGCTCGTAGCGCTGGAGTCCATTGGAGCCGGAGTCCGGGTCGCTGGCGGGCGGCAGGGGCAGTCGAGTCCCCACGGCGGCGCTCTCCGGCACCTCTGTGAGTCCCCCGTTCCACCCGGGAGAGATGAAGATTGTTTTAATGGTTAAAAAGATAGGGGACTGCTGCTGTGGCGAAAATGGCGAGCAACTCCGATTAGCTGTGTACGGTGTAAAAGAAGTTCAACATACATTCAGGGCAGGCATGTTTAGATTGTTAAATAATTCCCCCCCCCCCGCCCAGCAGTATATGTGAGTACACCACAGTTATTCGATGTAGTGGCGTAAAGTGTGGACACTCACACCTCGTCCAAGATGTCTGGCCATCGTGGAAGAGGAGGCAAAATACCCTCAAGAGAGAGGCTCTCTACAGCTCCATTAGGTGGAGGCCCGACTGCCAGCAGTAGAATGAGCAAGCAATCACAGTGTTGCACCTTTCCTTTTTTAAAGAGATAGCAATGACTAAATTCACCTTGCATGCTCCCAATCGCATCAGATCGCATAGCCTAAGCACAGCTGATCCTGCATAGTGCTTGGATGGGCGACCGCTATGGCTTAATTTCAGCCTGGTCTGCCCAGGGCAGTGACCTGGAGTGCATTTCCACGCCCGGAAAGCCACACTCAGCATACGTCTCGCGATGGCTGTGGTCACGAGTCACGGGCCTACTCCAGCTTGCCAGGGACCAAAAAGGTATTAAGAAATTAAGCCCATGTGGCCACCATGCATACAACAGGTGTTATAGGATGCTCGTCGCCAACCCGCATTGACGAGTGTGGTGAAATATGGCCAAATAAAACCCACACGAACCGCACGGCCCTCATCCAGCAGTTGATTAACAAAGAGCTGTACACGTACGTAGAAAGAAATTATAACAAAAACAAGAATTATCATTTTGAAACATGCAAATGTACCGCCCGTTTTTCAATCCCCTGCTGGTCTAAATCCAGGCATTCGCTTGTGATTAATGTAGGTTCTCAAGAGAAGTGAGAGTTGGTTGTCTCAGCCTGGTCACCAATGACTCGCATTGAACTTGGTTTTCCACCTTATTTTTCTAAAACCCAATAATGGAATGTATGAAAATGAAAAGAAATCATTAAGTTTGTCACGCAACATGATATACTCTCTGTAGCATGGTGCGTGGTGAAGTGCTGCCCCCTACTGTGCGAACTAGAAGCCATTTGCCAAAATCTCAGAGGTAGCTCTGTGATGTCCACTTCTGGGGACCATCATCTAACAAGATTGGTTACACTGCCGTGTGAGCGTTCCAATTGAAGTTGACGTGACGCCAACCGCAACACAATCGGGATACAACTGGGGGGAAATCGTTTCTTTATTAAAATTATTCCTCGTCGTGTTCACCAGATCAGGTTGCGGTCGTGTCACATCCCTCACCCAGCGAGACGAGCGACTCGGCGAAACTGGGTGCGTGGTCGTTGACGTCGAGGACGCTGACGAACACCCGCGCCAGCAGCGGCGGCGAGTCCAGCATGAGCTCCAGGGACAGCACGCAGGCGTCCGTGTCTCCATCGGAACCTCCCGCACGCCCTGACCCCGCCATCGAGGAGATGCCGCCACCGGCACCTCCCCCGCCAACAAAATGTCCGGCACCTACTCCACCGCCGCCGCCGCCACCTCCGCCGCCCCCGTGCCGGCAGATCTCCTCCCGGTCTAGCCGCTTGCCACTGAGCCGCAGCTCCCCGCTCTGCTCGCTGGCCGTCACGTACGCGGTGCCGTTGCCCGAGGGCAGCGAGCGGAAGTTGCGCGAGCGGAGGTCGGCGGGGCCCGGGAGGCCCAGGTCGAAGGCCGCGCGGCCGACCAGCGTGCCCGGCGCGCTCTCCTCCGGCACGGAGTAGCGCAGGGTGGTGGCCACCAGCGCCGCGGGGCCCGGCTGGGCGTCCGGGGAGCCCTGCGATGGCGATGGGGCTTGCGGGGCCCCCGACGCGGCGTGCAGCGCCAGCAAGGCGATGAGCGCGACCGCCGTGGAGAAGGGAGTCCTTCTGCGCTGCCGTCTCGGCTTCCTAAGCGACGGTGGCCTCGCTGATCCGTGGGGCATCATGGCGAGGCTGCCGTCGCTCAGGATCAGCGACGGGTTGTATTCGGATTTGCGCGATATTCCGTGGAGTGGTGTGGTTTGTGGTGGTTGTTGTTCTGCGTGTTCACGCAGACAAGTGGTAATTACTTTTGTGAATGTGATAATACGTGGCTATGTAAGTCTACTTTAAATTTCTTCACGAGTTACTGAAATGTTTAAAAAATTATATTTTTCCAAAATTAAATGCGGACGTGCCAGAAGGCTTTTTTTAAATAGAAAATTGCACTTTATAAGTAGATGTAAAATATGTTAATGTGATAAAAAAAATAGATGAGTGGCTTATTTTCAAAAAATATAGATATATGATTTCATGATTATAGTTACATTTGATTTTACTTTTTAAATACTTAACAGTAATTAAAAAAACTGATCATGAAAAACACATTTTTGCCAAAAATGTAAAACCGTAGAAGAATGATATCGAGTCGTTATTTGTATGAAGATGGGGCGCAAGGTAGACGTAGCAATGGTGTCTTCATCTCAGTTCCCTGGAAACACAATTCCAGCCTTGGCAAAGCTTGTTCCACCCTACACACATAAAGCACAAACACCTCCCATTAATCATTATATAATTAACAAACTTAAGCACGATAGCCGAACTCGACTCTGATTAGCTTACGAGATCTGACAATATTAGGAACATTAACGGTGATTTGGCCATAGGACATAATCAACAGGCGCAACTTAAGGCAATACGGCAAATGACCACCTATGCCGCCTGTAATGTAATAGCAGTACAGCAAGTGGACATATGACAGCTCTCCTGTACAGCGGCAGGCTTCGTGTTATTCTCTCAATCGTGTGGAGTTTTCTTTTCCGCGCTCTGCTTCCTTGTTCCCACAAGAGCAACATTCAAAACAACACCAACAGCAGCAGCGGCAGCGATGATAAAAGCTTCCCCAAGCCATCGACATTTTTTCACGATTCTGCGATGCAATAATCCACCTTAGCACCTGCACATGGGCTGATTTCATTGCACCATCTCCTGAGTGGATGAAATCATAGACGCGTTCCATTCCTTGGCTGCTAATCCACCGCTATTCCTGGCCATCGCCTATCGTCCGTTCTCATGACGTGACCTCCTCAAATCCACTTACTCTTCTTCACAGATTGCAAAACAAATCAACCAAATATTCCAAGCACAGGACCCTCCTGGAAACAATGTCTTGAGACTCAGTGAAGCTTTCCTCGACGGACGAATTACATTATTGTCATTACTGTCAGTATGACTGATTGATTTAAATGGAATTGGCCAAACATATCAATTTGGTTCTCCGCAATAATGGCTAGACTCCAATGATGTATCGCGAATATAAGATCCACAATAGTTGCATCTGTTTAAAAAAAAGTGGCTCATTTAAACGTTTTTTAAATATTACATTTTGTGAAAATATATGAATTAAGAATTGAAATACACAGTGCTAATTAAATAACAACAACATAGCCATGATCCATTAAATGAGTGCTGTTTACAATGTTTTACTGTTATGGAAGACATTGCAACGCTTTTATGATGTCATCATTTTCTGACAGTATGTGGGTTATGTATTGCCAAGTTACAACGATTGCGAGATTTGTGGCAAGCTTATGTTGAGTGTGCTGGCAATTGAATCATTTTCTAGCGAACTTGTCTCGCACAAAAACAAGATGATGATGTGAAATGAGGGTTATACAAATGTATGGGAAAAATGTATATCACGGTCTATTCGGTGTTGAGACGTAATGTTTTCCTGGGAAAATTAATGAAGATATTGTTTGTCTCATCCACTGCTGGATGAAAGCCTCCCCACCCCATCACCCGGCACCCCCTCCGGCCCCACACCGTGTTGGTCATGGTGGTTGTTTGACCATACTTGACCACGGAGATCGATGCTGGTAGGTCAAGTGGAGGAACACTGAGACCGTTCAGATATCGCTCGCTACTGATGTTAGCCGTGGCCTAGAATCAACGGCTAGTGTTTTCTCGTTGTGGGGGGGGGGGGGGGGGCCCAAATGCAGAAAAAACATTCTTCCCCTACTTCAAATTATAAAATGCGAGTAAGATGACAGAAAGATATAGACGACAGATATAGTGAGATAAGAGATATGTGGACAAAAGATAAAGATGTTATGACATTAGAGAAGAGGGATTTGGACAAGATAGAGATGAAAGAGATGAATTGGCTTTGATGTGAATTCTCTTATTATGTTTAGTACATTCTACAGTTGAAGAGGATATCTGATGCACGCCAAATCTTTTGTTTCATCAATACAGTATGGTGACCCCTTGAGATACTTGGGGCTCCACGCTTGCTCCTGTGCATGGTCTGCGAATGCCAATAGCGCCGCCGCACTGAGCCGCGCGCTAACCGCTGCGCCACCGCTCCCTGCCCACCACCCCACGACCATTGCGATGGCACCGCCATGGCGCGACTCCCATGCCGTCGCTACAAGGTTAAGTGGCTGCCACGTCTCACAGCCACGAGCACCACGAATGCATTATACTCGAGCCATTTACCCCCCACCCCCCCCCCCCCAAAAAAACCACACACAGACGCAATTCTCCCTGGTAAAAGTGCAAAAAAAAAATAATGGCATTATTGATTTAATAATAATATAAACAGGAAATAATTACTGCGAAGATAATAATAGCTGACCCCCCCCTCCCTCCCTCTCCCCCACGTGAGCGTGTCCGGTCCCCACGTGTCCCTTGCCGCAGAGATAACGGATCTCGCGGGCTCCCACCTGTTTTAAGGACGCCTAATTGAATAGCGGTAACAATTACGTCGCCTCTCACGTTCTCTCCACCCCCCCCCCAACGCGGCTCGGGTCAATGGTGCACTCCCGGGAGCCGCCCACACCTGTGGCTCCGTGGGCGACACCATCGCGCGAGGTGGCGGCACGCGGGGGGATTTCGTGCGTCGCGTGAGAAACGGGGGTGGGTGAGACGGGAGGGTGATTGTTTTTTGGTTGTTTTTGGGTGCCCGAGGGGGGTGGTTAGTGGGGGGGGGGGGGGGTGGCAAGGGAGTAGGGGGGGGTAAGAGGGAGGAGCTGGGGTGGCGAATGCCTCTCTGTGGGGGGCGCTCGTTAGGATTAATTGCAATCAATTGTAACATTTAATTATGCCACTGGGGCTTGTGGGTAATGGTGGAGCTTTGTTAAGCGAGGGAGGGGGTGGGGGTAGTGGGTGCGAGAGAGGGAAGAGAGAGAGGAGAGAGCAGAGAGCAGTGGCAGCAGTGGTGGCAGTGGTGTCGCTCTCGTGTGTGCAGGCGGCGTAACTGCACCGGAGCCCAGGGGAGACGACGGTGGGGAGAGACAAGAACAAAGGGGAGCATGGAGGAACGGAGAGAGGGAGGAAAAAGAGAGAGAGGGAGGAACGAAGGAGCAGAGCTTGAAATATTTCATGAAATCTTTCATTTAATCAGGGGGGAGGGGGGGGGCACATAAAGCAAAGCATTGAAAAAACCGCAATGATGAACGAAGCAAAGTGCCGACTACACCGAGCATCTTCTTGTTTCCTCTGATCGTAAAAAAAAGAGAGGGAGGGAGGAACGGAGAGAGTGAAGGAGGGATGGAGGCAGATTGGACAGGCCACCCTGTAGACTGAGTCACACCGCCTTCCTGGAGCTGCTGGCGAGTGAGGATGGGATCGCGTGCTCCGTATTTGAAGATGGGCCTCTGTCTAATAATTATAATCGTTGAGCCTCTGAGCTACCCGAACCCTCGTTAGCCCAACCCAAACCCTAACTCTTGGTCCCTCGATCAAAGACATTGACGCCTCTCTGTCACTGTGGATATATTGCCGTAGGCGGAGATTGACTTCTATTCTTGGGGGGGGGGGGGGGGGCGTTCGCTTTGTCTCTCACATTAAGAATCTCAGGTACAGATAATTACTACATTAATTTTGTTATTGTAAACTACTCACAATAAATTAATAGAGGTGTCCAGTTTGGGCGGAGCGTTCCCCCCCTCCCGTGCCCCCCCCCCAAAAAAAACTCTGCCCACGGCGGCAAGGGGCATGTAACAACAAAAATCAACGCTCAAATGTGGAACGAACCCGAAGTTCAAAAAAATACCAGAACAGAGATTTCGTCTGATCGCCGACAAAACGCGAGGAGGAAGAAGAGAAGAATGAAGGCGCAACTGAGGCAAGAGGGCCGAGTGGATTTCGGAAGCACACGTCAGATACCAAAGATGTGAGGCCTGATCATGAGTGCCGTACCAACAACAACAACAACAACCGTGAAGTGGCTTTGCACTTGAGCCGTGATGTCAACCAATTAGGACAGTGATTCAGGTGGAAACGGCGAGTCCAGCCTGGCTTTGTGATGAGGGGCAGAGAAGTGCTCATCGGACCCCGCGGGATCTGAAACTCACCTTTCTCCATCCACGCGGGGATGGCGATGATGGTTGCATTCAATTTTGCGTACGTGTGAAACCGTAGACTTATTAATACGTATCCCATATTCGATTTTGATGATACATTCGGAATGTACCGCGGCATGTGTTAGCAAATCACCTGGAACGTGCCCGATCAGGTCACACCTGGGAAGCTAAGCAGATTCGAGCCTGGATAGTGGTTCGGATGTGCGGACACTTTGTATAAAACTGGTGTTATAGACTGTTTCGGGGCAACTTCGCGGGCAGTTCAGCGAGATCATTTGTTGCCATGTACTGCTATGCCGCCTGTGCCCCTCATCCAACGCGCACTCTGACCAGCGTGGTGAAGTATGGTTAACCAACCCCCACGACCGACTTGGCTATAATGGCGATGTTGCAGGGAGATGATCTCGTCCTTCATCCAGCGATGGACGCTATTGACAAAGGGCTGTAAATACTTTTCAACAGATACTGCAGACCGATGAGGAAATATCTCCTGTAGATATAATAGGATATGCTATACAAATGAGGTACTATAATAATAATAAAACATAATTCGCCACCCTTCATTAATCCACTGTTCGATGCAACGGCTCACCACGCCATGTCAGGCTTGGGGGTTGTTTGACCAAACTTCACTACGCTGGTCATTGTGGCTTTCTGAAGAGAGGTTGGGTTTTGCCAGGACCGGTTTCAGACATCACTCACCACTGATTCATCTCACCCTCTCGGGGAATTGAACTTCGGTGAGTATATAGGACAGACCGCTGCCCCCACCGTTCCTACACCGCCCCGACCCCTGCTCAATAGTGACGAGTTAAGAGATAACGACAGAGGCTTGCAAAAAAAAAGATCCCTTTTAGCAGAGATGTTACAGATAAAGATGCTATAGAGAGACAGACGATGAGTTGCTGCCGAAATATTCATGATTATACTGTGATACGCTTCGGAAAGTGAGATGCACCTCAACGCTTGCGGTAAAAATGTTTAAATACTCGAAATAATAGGTACTATTGAGAATAATTGGTTGAATACATCTTCGCGAAGGCAATGTATATTGTTAAAGCTGTTTTAGTGTGAGATACTACACGTGGTTTGGAGATCTATAGGAGGTGATTGAGATTACATAGGGGAGATCTATTAGCAGAGATGCGGCAGAGGGAGCTGCT